AGCTTAAGGCATTAAAATAAAAGTAGTAAAATAATAAAGAAGTTATAGTTAAAGGTATTATAAAAAAGCTATAGTTTAAGAAGTAGTTAAAAGTTATAGGGAAAAAGTATAACTATTTATTTATAAATATATAGCAGTCTACTATAACTAAAGCCCTTAATAAAGTTACTAATAGATTTATAATAGATATATAATACCTTTCTAATCTTTATAAGTCTATTTATAATATAGCTTTTATAGTAAAGCCTTTTAAAGCTATAGATTTTTCCTTCCTTTTTTATAGTAATAATTTTATTACTTTTTACTTTATAAAGCTATAAGAAATACTATACCCTAGTAATTTTAGTACTAATAGTAAAGTTATAATACCCTTATTACTACCCTGCTTACCTAACTATAAGTTACTTTCCTAGTTACCTTTACCTATAGCCCTCTTATTGCCCTGCCTCTTACTATACTAAATACAGTATTGCAAGTTAATATAAAATCTTATATAAAAGGAAAGGCAAGTAGCAGAGGCTATAGCTATAAAAAAAGAGGAATATAATACTTCCTATTTTAGCAGGGAAACCAGTTCCTTAAATCAGGCCTAATTAGCTGCCGCTATAGTTACATTACCTAAGCAGCTATAGTTAATAGTTAATTTAGTATTATAAAAAGCCTTAAACTTAGCCTTTTCTTAATTTTAGCTATTTTTAATATTATATAAGAGTTAAGGTATATAAAATTATAAAAAATATACCTAAAAGCGACTCCAGTTAATATATTAACCTTTTATGCCTGTATTGCACTTTTATGCCTAACTAAGCTTGCTTAGTTGGCCCCCCCCCGGCTCGAGCCAATGGGTAATAGTAAAGAGTCGCGATTGCTAATCCCATACAAAAGTCACGTGCAGCGGATCTTCAATTTCTTAATCTCAAGTTAGACTTATTCCTCTATTTAGCTTAATATATTAGCCAATTAGAAGCTATAAAAATACCAATCTAGCGCATTTACAGCGCATTTACAGCGTATTTACTAAGGAGCTTTAATTACAATGTGTTAAAAGGCTCTATAAATATACTGTAAATGCGCTATAAATGTGCTGTAAATACGCTGTAAATGCACTGTAATTTAACTGATATACGTTAGAAGATGATGATAAGATAGGGCTGTGGCTAGTTATGGCTAGTTATGGCTTGGTGTAAATAGTGCATTTTGATTGGCTGAGCTAGGCTTAGTCTGTGTGGGAATAGCATGACTCATGGTAAATTGCTCACTTAGTACTCCGTAGTTACATTCCGATTCCCCAGCCCATGGAAAATATGAATATCAGTGTACTTGGAAATAGTAGGGCTTCGAGTTACAGCAACCAACCCAATGCCCAGGATAATTAATGACAATCTCTGTTACACCTAACTCAACGTTACAATCTACTCATGAAAGACCAGCCATAGGATTGTGGCACGTGAAATCTGTCTACAAGGGCAAATACCGATCCCGATAAAGAAACAACAGCTGATCTGCGGAATACAAAAAGCAACAAGACACTATCACAAACCCCGGTCCAATACTTAAGTACTCTGCTCATTAGAGAGGTCTACCAACAAAGAAACCGTCAAAAAGAAACGGGAAAAAGCAAGCAGCGCCTTCAAGACCCTGAATGGAACCGGAGGGAGCATGGGTCTCGTTTTGTTCTGTACATGGTTAGTATGTCGTTTGGTAGGTAGCTAACTACTGCAGCCGGGATATTGAGCTTCTTTCTTTGCGCACACAAAGGATATGATTTGGGCATTGTTTAATTGTGGATTATTTTGCGAGATGAAAAGATCCACGATGTGCAGGGCTTGTTTCTCTGCGAAGTCTCTGGCTGAAGATTGTCTTTGACTGTTGTGCAGCAGCAGCAGCAGCAGCATGTATTCAGCAAACTGGGATTTATTATAACTTACAAGACTGCTGGAGCCAAAGTAGGCCCTGTTGGTGAACTAGGTAATTATCAGATTCAATATATAGCGAGCAGCCAGCGTGTGGTACATGCGATGCCATTTCCGTGTACATGTATATGAGATTGGATGACGCTACTTAATGAGGGTACCTGAGATTAAGGTAAGTATTTCCGTATCCGTGCAGCTAGCTCTCAGTGTTGATTTGCTCTAGCAGTCCCTTAGTCTAGGGCGTATGCGTATGGAATTTAAACAATAGGCGCTTTGCATTTGCATTTGCTACTGAACGGGTCATGGACAAACCGGAGACACAGCATCTGCCAGTCGCCTGAAAATATGCAACGGGAAGGCAGATTAATTGAAACGGCCAACCATCTTCCTGACAAAGAAGAACCGATCTGGGAAAAAATTACTTTAGTTATTGATTTAGAGCTTGTCTTGCAACAACAATATTCTCGATTGTGGCATTTGCTCCACCACAAACAGGGGACTCAGGTACACCTGAATCTTTTGAATCGGGCGTACTTCAGTTAGGTACCTTGCCCTGACCTTGCTCATCACACTTTGCTTTCTAGCTAGCGGACAGGGACACAGAGTGGTTTATTAGTGGACATTGCCCCTGGAACCCAAGACACCTCAGAGACGGACGGCGTCACTCTACTCAAACCATGGATAACGCGCTAAGAACCAGCCTCTCTCCAGACACAGCGGACAGACATACCCTGGTCGATCTCACCCAACTCTGCCCCGGGCGGACGAAGCTGGAGCGCCAACGACCAAAGCAGTCAGCATTGCGGAAAGTTAGTAGGTTCCCATGGATCTTTGGCAACCACGGGCTGGGTTGCATGCATTGGATACGGAGAACCGTGAATGTCCCCAAGACCTATAGACACTAATATACAGTAACATGGAAAGTTATACTAAGGTAGACAGACCTACTACCTATACAACACTGTATTGCAGCCTTACCTACAATCCACTCACCCACTCACTCACTCATTCACCGGGCACACTCTTTGTGACTTTGCTTGGACCCGATTGCCCTCACCCACCCTTAAGCGTGCTCTCTTGTCTTTTCATCCTCTGACCCGGACATCGCCAGGAACAGGGAGCTCCAACTCAGCCTCATACGCCTACCTCTTGTTTCCAGACATGACGTGAACTCACCTATCACATAACTATTCGGTCTACTCCGTACCTTTACCTCTCTTTACCTTGACCTTACATTGCCTTGCCTACCTCCTAGGATATCTCATCTCATCTCAATCTCTAAAATAAAACGACATACCTCACCTTTCCGCGCATGTCTCTCGCTACTGACGATCTACCAATCTCACCCACCTTAGTAGCTTTGGACGTCCGTTCACCCCCGCCGCTCACAGTCACGATTTGCAACCCCAAACCCGAACCCGTCTCTTAACCCATCCTACTGACTGACTGGGCACCTACCTACCTGTGATTGAAACTGAACCGAACTGCACTGAATTGACGGGGTCTTATTAAGAGTCTGTTCTCTTGCCAACAAGTTTATCCACTGTGTCTGCTTATGCTTAGCTGCTCCGTGCCTGTCGTCTTGTCCTCATCCGGACCCTGCCCTACCCATATTATTCCCTATGGCCTAGGGCCCTACCATCAACGCCATCCACGCCCCGGCGACAATGACCAGGAATGAGCCCTTCAACCGCATCGGCTCGATCACGAGCTCTAGCAGAAGCAAAATCAGAGGTAGCAGCAGCAGCAGCAGCAGCAGCAACAACAGAAGCAGAAGCAGAAGAAGCAAAAGCAATGATGACAGTCCGAGCACCGCAAGCGCCATGAGTAGTACATACTCTGCCGTCACTGTGAGGTCCTCGTCACCATCTAAATCGCAATCGCCCTCACCCTCGACTGCCTCCACTACTCCCGCTCCCGCTTCCGCTTCTACTATCTCCACTCCCATTCCCACTCACTCGCCTACTCCCAATCCGGCACCCAACGTTGATACTCTAACACCAACTCCATCATCCTCCGCCGCCGCTGCTCCCGTTGCGACAGCTTCCCCTGCTGTTGCTGCTGCTCCCACCTCTAATACCTCGACATTCTCCTCGACGCCTCGCCAGCAACCAACCCCTACTCCTTCTGCTCGCCCAAGCGCTGATGGCAATGCTTCGTTGAGCAACCCGTGGTGAGTTTATAGTTGTCATTATGGTTCCGATAATATGCCGTCTCCCGTCTCCCGATCCCCTGCTGCCATCTCCCGCCCTGTCGCCGTTCATCTCGCCTCCCGCCATCCAGCTAAACGCTTTCCCGCATCTCACAGGTCCTCCTTCAAGGATGAGCCTCAGCTCTCACCTACTGCTACAAACTTCGCCCCTCGCGCCGGCGCCAATGCTCATCCCAAAGACCGTCGCATGAGCGACCTCACCAACTATCGACGTGAGCTCGCCGTTCTCGAAACCTCCCGAGTCCCTCAGATCCACCAGATTCCGCCCACCGGCGGTGCGAGCCCTCAAATAGCACCGTGGATGAACCAGCCTGGTTCCCCTTCGACCTCTTCCAACATGCCGACCACTTTCTTCAACGATTCGAGCGATAACCTCTCCCTCGCCTCCCAGCTTTCTCCGGGTCATCAGATCAGTAACCGCCAACCACATCAGCTCCAGTATCCTTCTCACCCCTCGCAACACGATGCCCCCGAGGCTTCATATTTCGATGGCAGGCGCCCATCCGCTGCCAGTATCCTCACGGCGAGCAGTCAGGGCAGCAAAACCAGTATAACCAGAGGTGGCTTTCGCAAACTCCAGGGCTTCTTTGGCGAGGAATTCCCTGGGCGCGATAGCTCGGATGGCAGCCTACCCACTTCGCTTGCGGGCAAGGACCAGCGTGGACGCTCTTATAGTCACAGCCGCCCCATACATAGAGATCGCAACTATTCCAATGCCACGGATCACACTCGCGATGCATCACCATCATCTTCGAGACCGAGGACTCCAGTTCCTGCACCAGAGGTGGTGCCTTTTCTATACCAGGACAACAGTGTACGTACAACCCCCGCCTCTGTCTCATCATCCTGAACCCCCGGTGACCCCCCGGTCTGGTTCACGATCGACACATTCCTCTCCGAAATTATCTCTTGGTTTTGTTTTTAGTGCCCAATTCGATCCAGCTGTCATCTCGTTCACGTAGTATTCTCACCAGCGTCGCTGGCTCACTGACATCCATCTTATAGGACATCGCTCGATATGGCGAAGCTCCCGTCCGAGACATCATGACCGGACCCGATCGAGAGCGATATGTGGGTGATGGTTCCTCACAAATTCCCCCAAAGACATCGTCATCCTCGAGGTCGGGTCATTCTATAGTTCACTTACCCGGGCATCATCGACACCATAAGAGTAATGATGATCCTCGGACACTGCGGCCGACAATGAGTAGGGACGATACAGCGATCGGCACGCAGATGTCGCGCGATCGTGGGGGCAGTAGCGCCATGTACTCAACCAAATCTAGAGGCCAAAGCCCGACACCAAGTACTAGAAGTGCAGGAATGACTTGGAGCACGAAATCCTCACAAGTTGATGGACAGACCTCGCCCGGTCATCATCATGGCAAACGCGGAATCTTTGGACGGCTTAGAAGGCACCACAAAGATAAAGACGACATTGCTAAACTTCGCGATCTACCTCAATCAACAAGATCTCTCCAGCCGAAGACCTCGAAGCCTGACTTGCACCGCCCAAGCGATGTATCGACGACTACATTACCGTTCTCGGGGACCTTTGGCCCTGGGGAGATGAGCGATATCCCTGATTTGCGACCAAATCCAGGTCAACGTGGTGCAACTTTCAACAATAAGTTTCCTTTCGCCAAGAAGCCACGAACCCATCGGCCTCAAGACTATGTTGACGATGCAATTGGTCCGACAGATCGTAACGATCCTAACAACATATATCATCTCGATACTAACCTCAACGATATGGAGGGCATCCTGACGAAACCTCCTCCACTTACACCTATGGATACTAGCTTCGTTAGCAATGTCGAGCCTGAGCGTCACGATTCCATTATCTCCACAGCACCAAAAGGCCGTTGGGATGCTCCTGACAGTTGGGCAGTGCGACGCAACACCGAAGATAACTCATACCATGGCCCTGAACCAGATGAGATTGGTAGCCCCCCTCGCCCAGAAGAGAAGGCATCGCCATACTGCATTCGCATCTTTCGTTCAGATGGTACATTCTCTACACATTCGATGCCTCTGGACTCGAATGTCACAGATGTCATCTCACAAGTCATTAAGAAGACTTATGTGGTTGACGGTTTGGAGAACTATCATATTATATTGAAGAAGCATGATCTTATCAGGGTTTTGACACCCCCTGAGAGACCCTTACTTATGCAGAAGCGGCTCCTGCAGCAAGTCGGTTATGAGGAAAAGGATAGAATCGAAGATCTCGGCCGCGAAGACAACAGTTACCTCTGCAGGTTCATGTTCTTGTCTGCGAGGGAGAGCGATTTCCATGCCAAAACGACCGACATGGGCCTGGCTCGGGCTCAGAAGCTCAATTACGTGGACCTTTCTGGGCGCAACCTCGTCACAATACCTATATCCCTATACTCAAAGGCCATGGAGATCATCTCTCTTAACCTCTCGCGCAACCTTTCGCTCGACGTCCCACGAGACTTTATACAGTCTTGTAAACATCTTCGAGACATCAAGTTTAACAACAACGAAGCTAGGAAACTACCGCCCAGTTTGAGTCGAGCAAACAGATTGACATTTCTGGATGTTGCAAATAACCGGCTGGAGCAGTTGGAGCATGCCGAGCTCAACTCTCTTACAGGGATGCTGAAGATGAACTTGGCCAATAACCGGCTTAAACACCTGCCTTCTTACTTTGGAGCATACCAGTCACTTCGCTCTCTTAATATCTCTTCTAACTTCCTCGACAAGTTCCCAACTTTCTTGTGCAATCTAACAAGTTTGGTCGACCTGGATCTGAGTTTCAATGCCATTGCGACAATTCCTCACGAGATTGGCGGCCTGAAGAACTTGGAGAAATTGTTGATAACTAACAATAGACTGACACACGCTGTACCAGCGTCATTCGGACAACTTGTCAGCCTGCGCGAACTCGACATTAAGTATAATGGTATCTCGAGCATCGACATTATTTCGGAGCTCCCGAAACTTGAGACTCTTTCCGCTGATCACAATTGCGTCTCTGCCTTTGTTGGACAGTTTGAGTCTCTTCGCCAACTCAAATTGAACTCGAACCCACTCAACAAATTCGAGATTGTTGCCCCCGTTCCTACACTCAAGATATTGAATTTATCGAACGCTCAGCTTGCCAGTATTGACTCGTCATTCGTCAACATGGTCAACCTCGAGCACCTGATATTGGACAAAAACTATTTCGTTTCGTTGCCCCAAGAAATCGGTACCTTGAGCAGACTCGAGCATTTCAGTATCGCGAACAATTCCGTCGGAGAGCTACCAGCTCAAATTGGTTGCCTGACTGAATTGAGAGTGCTCAATGTTCGAGGAAACAATATCTCCAAGCTGCCCATGGAGTTATGGTGGGCAAATCGATTGGAGACTTTCAACGCCTCTTCAAATGTTTTGGAACATTTCCCCAAACCTGCTTCCAGAGCACCACGGATACCGGGAGAGGAATCACAACCGGCGCCCCCTCCTGTTAATGGGAGAGCTGCACCACTTGGAACTCTGTCGGCCACAGCAAGCTCTGAAGAGTTGTCAGACGATCGAAGACCCAGTCAAAATTCGAGCACACTTCTCAGTGTCGGACCGTCTCCCCTTAACGCTGGCGACCGCAAGAGCTCCGTCGTGTCTGTTTATGGGAAGGGTGGCCGTAAGACCTCAGTTGTGTCTAGATCAGCAACTCCGTCGGCTCCCACGCAAACAGTCAACACCAGAAAAGATTCTGGGATGTCATCAAGGCTTAACAACACATTTGCTGGATCCCTTCGTAATCTTCACTTGGCCGACAACCGTCTGGATGACGATGTTTTTGATCAGATCACGCTGCTCGCGGAACTCCGAGTGCTCAACCTATCTTACAACGACGAAATCAGTGACATGCCACAGAGATCGATCAAGAACTGGCCTCAACTAGTTGAGCTTTATTTATCCGGAAACGCTCTCACGACATTGCCTGCCGATGACCTAGAGGAGTCCAGTTTACTACAGGCACTTTATATCAACGGCAACAGGTTTACCAACTTGCCAGCCGATATCTCACGGGCCAAGAACCTCGCTGTTCTCGATTGTGGCAGTAACTACCTGAAATACAACATCTCCAACGTGCCCTATGATTGGAACTGGAATCTCAATCCGAACCTCCGATATTTGAATCTGTCTGGCAACAAGCGCTTGGAGATCAAGCAGACGAACACAGGTCCTCTTGGGCCTGGCGCCGTCAATCGTGAGGAGTATACAGACTTCAGCCGTCTGCTCAACTTGCGTATCCTGGGCCTGATGGATGTCACCCTCACCCAGCCCAGTATTCCTGATCAGAGTGAAGACAGACGTGTCCGTACATCTGGATCACTCGCTGGCCACCTGCCTTATGGTATGGCTGATACTCTTGGAAAGCATGAGCACTTGTCAACGGTCGATCTCGTGGTACCAAGATTCAACTCGTCAGAAACAGAGATGCTCTTGGGCTTGTTTGATGGACAAGCTTTATCCAGCGGTGGATCTAAGATCGCTAAATACTTGCATGAAAACTTTGGCCACATTTTTGCTGGCGAACTGAAGCAGTTGAAAACACGGTCGAACGAAACACCGGTTGATGCATTACGACGCTCGTTCCTCCAGCTCAACAAGGATCTGGTCACTATTGCTATCCAGCAATCCGACGAGCGGCCATTGAAGACGCATAGGGGCTCTGGCCAGCCTGTAATACTCACCAAGGAAGACCTCAACTCAGGGGGTGTGGCAACTGTGGTTTATCTTCAAAGTACGGAACTATATGTTGCAAACGTCGGTGATGCACAGGCGATGGTGATCCAGACAGATGGTACTCATAAGATGCTGACCCGCAAGCATGATCCTGCCGAGCCCAATGAGAGATCGCGCATTCGCGAAGCTGGTGGATGGGTTTCTCGCAACGGCAGACTGAACGATCTACTCCAGGTTTCACGCGCCTTCGGATACGTTGATTTGATGCCGGCCGTACAAGCAGCACCCTATGTCAGCAACATGACAATCCGAGAGCAGGACGACATCATCCTCATTGCGACTGGAGAACTCTGGGAGTACCTGACACCCGGTCTAGTGACAGATATTGCGAGAGCCGAGAGACAAGATCTCATGCGAGCGGCCCAGAAGCTTCGTGACCTGGCTATCGCATACGGCGCCTCGGGCAAAATTATGGTCATGATGATTAGTGTTGCTGACCTAAAGCGACGGGTCGAGCGATCCAGACTCCATCGCGGTGCTAGTATGTCGCTTTATCCATCTGGTATCCCTGATGACGCCCAGGTTCTCAATACCAGGAGGGGCCGAAGGACCAAGGGCGATGTTCTCGATTCATCCCTAAACCGACTCGAGGCAGAGATCCCAGCGCCTACGGGTAACGTGTCGATTGTTTTCACCGATATCAAGAACTCGACAACACTCTGGGAGATGTACCCCAGCGCCATGAGATCAGCCATCAAACTCCACAACGAGGTCATGCGTCGACAGCTGAGACGAATTGGTGGCTACGAAGTCAAGACTGAAGGTGACGCTTTTATGGTCTCCTTCCCAACAGCCACGTCCGCACTGTTATGGACGTTTGCCGTTCAGATGCAGCTCCTCGATGTGAACTGGCCATCAGAAGTCTTGAACTCAGTGTCTTGCCAGCCTGTTTATGACAAAGATAACAGTCTCATCTTCAAAGGACTGTCGGTGCGAATGGGTATTCACTTTGGAGACTGTGTGAGTGAGACGGACCCAGTCACACGACGTATGGATTACTTCGGACCCATGGTGAACAAGGCGGCTCGAATCTCTGCAGTCGCAGACGGTGGACAGATCACGGTCTCAACCGACTTCATCTCGGAGATACAGCGGTGCCTGGAGAATTATCAGGATACGGATCGTGGGAACGCTTCTGGCTCCGAGGATACCTTTGACGAGGAGACATATGCTAGTGCCATTCGAAAGGATTTGAGATCCCTCACCTCTCAAGGCTTTGAGGTTAAGGAGATGGGCGAGAAGAAGTTGAAGGGTCTTGAAAACCCTGAGGTTGTGTACTCGCTCTACCCTCATGCATTGGCTGGACGTATCGAGTTCCACCTGCAGCATGAGAGGAAGGAAGAAGGAGGAGGAGGCGGTGGTGATAAGCCTGCTGTCCTTGCACCCGGAGCAGAGCTCAGTATCGACCCAGATGCAATTTGGACTCTCTGGAGGATCAGTTTGCGACTTGAGATGCTTTGCAGCTCGCTGGAAGGCAACGATGCACCAGGGCTACAACCACCAGAGACAGAACTGCTCGAGCGGATGAAGCAGCGTGGAGGAGAAGTCACAGATCGCTTCTTGTTGAACTTCTTGGAGCACCAAGTGAGCAGGATAGAGGTGAGCTTGAACTGACCTACGCATGAGTGGAGCCTTACTGACAACGTTAGACCTGTATATCGACACTGGCGATGCGTCACCTTGCTACTGGTGGTGGCCCTATTAAGGAACTAGAAGATCTCCAGGGCCCAATGACTGCAATCTTGGATATGTTCATGGCACAGAGGAAGGAACTTGAACGATACAGGAGGAAATATGGTGCGCTGCCAAGCCCCTCCAGTAGCGAAGATGAAGACGACGACGACGACGACGACGACGATCCCGACACAGAGGAAGGGAGCGACACAGAGCAAGAGTTGTGATTGGGTTCAGACGATTGGTTTATCTGAACGTTACCCGAGCACTTATATATGCTATAATTACCCACGGGACACGAGGAACACGACAAGGGGAGGGTAAACAGAACGCTTTTTGCTTGCACGATTCAGGGATAGCAGGATGCAATGGGACTTTTGGATGGGAAACTTTGTCTTTTTGAGTAGGTGCTGGGCTTGCTCTCTATATCCCAGACGCTTCGGTGCGAGGTGCTCACGATGTGTTCGCGGTTGGGTTGGGTTGGGTTGGGTCTGGTTGGGGTTGGAAAAGACATTGGGGTTCCAAGATGGCAGGGCAGGGCAAGGCAGTACATGGCGTTGGGCTATGGAGAAAGCAAGGAAACATTGATACTTGGCTGTTTTGTCTTCCAGGAGTCTCACATACTATACTTTGTTGCGCTCAGTGTAAATTGGGATGATGGGTTCTTGTCTTTTCAGGGGTTATGGATGGCATCGAGGAGTCCGTGCAGGCATGCATACATTGTTTATACGATATGATAGGGCATTACAAAATCAGACGATGTAGTAGCACACTCATTCGCATCGACCAATTAATGAGCTGTGATGGAAGCAGACACTTACTTATCTTGGGCCGTCTTGACGATCTGACTAACTGACACGCCTCAAGATTCGGATTCGGGGTGACATTCGAGGTCCAACCCACCACCCACCTGTATAGCCCCTGACTAGATTTCTGAGAGCAGCCACATTGGCGCCCAGCCCAAGTATTTTCTCGCCACCGATTGATCCCTCTTCACTCTCATCTCCTGCAGCAGGAGAGCCAGGCTTGAGAATCTCAACACCGTCGTAACCCGCGACAACTCCTATAACCTGCCAGCCACCCAACACCTTGCGTGGGTTCTCTGCGAGAGCATAGTCGAAGCGCTCCCAGAAACGCGGCCAATAAAGCTGGTCTCCCTTTTCAGTCTTGTCAAAGACTAGAACAGGTGCCGTAGAATCAGGGTTGGAGGTGATGGGGAAAGCGATGGGATAACCAGATGGATTCTGCCCAAACAATGTCAGCCCCGTCATGCAACTCAAGACATCGGCGTGGACGTCGATCACGGGAGTAGGATCATCATGGGTGATGTAAGAGAGCTGCTGAAGTGCGTCGCCGCCAGGATAGTTAAGCGAAGAGAATAGGAGCATGGCAGTACTACCCGCGAAGCTGATGAGGACCGACAAGGCGATAGCGGCAGACACGCCACGGTAGATGATGGATTTAGAGGCGCGAGAGGAGACAAAATTGGCGCCGAGAGCTGCAGCGGCAGTCAGAGACGGCACAACATAGAAAATGAAACGAGCCTCTTTATGAGGCTGAGCAGAATAAATGGCCACAAAGAGCAAGTTGGGGATGAGCAATGTCTGAGTAGCCCGTGATGTACCAGGCTGGAGTAGTGCATACCCTGCCAACGCTGGCACGAAAGGGTTGAGCAATAGCTTTGGAAGCGCTGAGGTGAAATAGTAATGCCATGGAGAAACGCCCCATTCTGACGAAGATCCAAGAATAGCATTGAAGTAGAAACCCCACAACTCGGGCCATAGGGGCTTCTGCCAGAAATACGAGTCAATGGGTACTGAAATAAGCAGTGAAGAGATGAATGAGCCGAGGAAGGTGAGAATCAAGGGGCGTAGACCGATACGACCCGTGAAAAGGAGGTAGAGTCCTGTAGTGCTGAGAAGAACAGCGACCTCGGAGCGGAAGATGGCTGCTGCTATAACCAAGAGAGCGATGGCTTGTTTCTGACGAGCAGCAGAGAGGTGAGGTGACGACTGGGGAAGTAGGAATGCCGAAGCAAGGGTAGCTAGTCACAGTGAGTTGAAGCTTGTAGCATCGTTGGTGAATGGGATGACTTACTGAGACAGAATGCATACATGTTTGGCAACGTCCGGGAAACATAGTAGTTGATATGGAACTGACCCGCCATAAACACCACCCACCAAGCTGAAACACCTGATCCATAAGCTCTCTTGAGAGAAGACTTGAAGGTCAAGAGCGCAGCAACATTGGCGGCACCAAGGATTCCTCGAACTACAAGCTGTGCATGTTGAAAGCCAACAAGAGCGACGATGGGCTGCCCCAGCCCTGCGAGGAGCACAGCACCGAGAAAAGTGCGGGGCACGGCGCCGGGAAAAGTGAAGTGGTCGTAAGTATGAGAGAGGCGTTCATATATATCCTGAGTGGGTGTTCCGTAGACGAGTATGTCGTGGGCTGCTTGTATGTTGAAAGACTCCTCCACTTTTGTATAGGGGGACACAAGTAGATGAACGAGTGGGATGGTGATGAGAAGACATGTTAGGAAGAAATCTGGGAACAATCAGTATAACTTACTCTAACAGTGCAAAGGGAAAACGATGTACCTGAAGTCTTCATCTTGGCTGATATAGAGTTCTTACTCTAGGTACCTTAATAGGTACTACGAGAGCTACTGTAGGTGTGTGTACCTTGCAGCTTGGTTTTTAAGTAAAAGGCTGAAAGATCTGAAAGGTGAGAGACGCCGCCGGATCAAGAAAGTATCTCCATGCCAAAGTAACCGCTATAAAAAGAAAATATAAGTTATTGCAATTCTTCTGTTCAACATGAGTGAGTGAGTGAGTGAATGAATGAATGAACTGCCCATGAGCTTGTTACCTCTTTAGGGGTCCTCGGATCGGTCCAACAAATCACCCGCCGCAGAAAGAACACTCTTTCCCCAGACATGGAGCTCTAGGTACCGTTCCAGCCACAATTGCAAAAGGTACGTACCTCGAACTGCAAGTCCTTGAGAGGGACGGAACGGGATAGTTACACATCATCGCTAACTAACTACTATACTACCTCAGCTGCAACCAAGACCACCATTCTCAAACCTTTTTGACCTTCAGCGCCGTCGCCCAAAATGTGGTTCTTTGGCAGTTTCCTCTACGGTAACAATCCTCCTGCTCCCCTTATCCAGAGCGCAGCCGCTAATATAGATTTCAGTTTGTATTCTACTCATCAACGCCGTCGCTGTCCTTTCCGAAGACCGTTTTCTTGCGCGCAGTACGAAATCCTCCCTCCCTTTTCGAGCGAGTCTACATAGCCCCGCGAATCTCATATCTGACCTGTCCTGTCCTCCCAGTCAATCTCTCTCCCGCTTCTTACGACCCTGCGTTCGGCGCTGGCCCCGATGCCAGCGTCAAAGCCAAGATCATCAATCTCATCGCGAGTGTCCGAACCATCATGAGGAGTACGTTCAACGCCCAAACTCACAACCACCCAAACATAACGAGCTACTACTGCGCCTTTTGCAACACGAGGAACTAACGTAACAGCAGTGCCACTGATCTTTGTCAATTCCGTTATTATCCTTTATGAGCTCATACTTGGTTGATTCGCCGAGTGTCACATACGAGGCACAGTTGTAAAAAGAGGACACGGTAGACTATTCTAGGCATCAATGGAGTCCGGCTAATCTTGGAATCGGAGTTTTTTGTTGTTGATATGGATCACGGGAGACTATGCTTGTGAGTACTACTCTTTGATATGAATACGATATGGAACGAGGCAGGACAAGATGCGGAACCCTCTTCATGATATGGTAGTGAAGGTAATTTATTGCCTACGTGTAATGCCGAACTGAAAATACATATAATGTGTCGGACGTCATCTCCTCAGTTCGCTCATAGGCGTCTGATCTTACTCGAAATATACCCAAATAGCTAAATGCATAGAGGCCTGTCTGAGCCCACGAGGGCTTCCGAACAAGACCTCCAAGTACCTATGTATAATACAACTGCCACGCTATGGGTGGTCTTGTTCGGCTCTCGGTCAACATTTATCGACCAAGCAAGCCCATGCGAGCAGCAATAACCAAGTTTGCCTTCTGCTTAATGCACCCGTGTTCCATCTTCTGCTTGGTACCTCCTGTAATTAGGCCTTCTTGCCTTCGCATAATGCAGGCTATGGCAAACCTGTTGTTTTCCTGAGACCAAGGACAGCCAAATGCCAGAGACCCGAATGCTGAATGCTTTTGAGGACCACCGTCGCCTTATTATGCTATTTGTCTCATGCAGTGAGTGCTTCATTCAAAGCGCATGGGTATCCTGCCATCCACTAATACCCCCTGGCCACAAACATGTAATACATTTCAAGCTCCCCCTTCCCATATGTAGACGTGATAGTCAAGTGCATGTTGGAATTACGAAAGTAAATTCGTGCTCTTTTTACGTCCCAAGCTGAAGCTGAGGCGATCCTTGAGCTTGTCGTGTTTATCACCTGCATCGCCGTTAGGCGTATCAGGCGTTTGCCCACCCGATTTGTCTTTGTGGAAAAGCGAGAAACTTCTCCTTGACATTGACTTGCTGCCACGTTTGGTTCGGTCGAGTATTCCATTGCTCTGAGGTGTTCCGTTTTCTTTCTTTCTCGATTCCTCTTCTTGTGCTGCAGACTTCTTACTGGCTTCCAACACTTTGGCTAGTTCATCGTTCTCATTTCGTCGTGCCTGTATCGCTTTGTAATTGTCTTCTCTTCGTTTCTTTCCGTCAACCTTGGCCTGTTTCTCTCGCTCCTTTTCCGCGACTTTCTCGGCCTTCTCAGCAGCTTCGCGCTCCTTCTTCTCCCGCTTCTTGTCCTCCTTCGATTTGGCTTCTTCTTTCTGCGTAGTGACACGAGCCAGGCCATTTGTTGCAGCTGCAGCGGCTGCAGGGGGCGCAGGATCCGGTTGGGGAGCTGAAGGCATGGCTGGTGCCGTACTGGCATGGGCAAGATTTGCCATCGACTCGTGACGCGTTAGGGGTGACATGGGCTGCGTTGCTTGCCGTCTCAGAGGCGCCGTGTCTGATTTGTCCCCGTTCTCCTGAGCTAGATTGGCTGCTTCGCTAGCGAGTTTTACCTCCTCCATGCCCTCCTTCTCTTGCTCTTCTCGCACTTTCTCGAATGTTGTTTCCTGGTAAAATAAAACGTAGGCGGTTGCCATCCCTGGCTTGTCACCGAAGAAGTTGCGGACAAAATTCTTGTCCACCGGTTCAACCATCTCGTCGTCAAACAAAATCCACCCCCTGCCCGGAACCTTGATGATAGACACGTAGTGACCATGGTAGGCATTACCACCAATGTGAACCACTACCGCATACAGCTCATAGAGTCGGTCCGGGTCTTCGGCATTATCTGTCGTGTTGAACATGCGCAAGTGGTAGGGATACACGACCCTGTGAAAGAGCTTTTGCAAACGACTGTAATCTTCGGTATACTTGAACCGCTTTAAGTGGAGCGTCAAGATCTTGGGTAACCGCTTCACCTTCATTCGCTTCTCGGCCTCCTGAAGGCCACCACAATGGTCGCAATGGAACTTGTTTCTCTCACAGAGCATCTCTTCGGCTGAAAACTTCCTTAAGCAAGATGTCACTGACGAATGCTCTTCTAAGTCAATGGACAAATCGAGAAATGTCTCATCGCGCCGAGAAGCAGTCTCGCAAGTTAAGCACTTCGTTTCTGATGTGAGAACGCCCTCAAAAATGTCATGGACCCATCCTGTTGCTGGGGAACCTGACCCAGCTACGTGATTTACCATGGCAGATCCAAGAGCATGTCCCACTGAAGTTGCCAGACCATCAATGCCGTCAACTGGGGCCTGCAACTGCATCTGGCGAGCTGTGCTCTCAACGCTGTTGATGACATCATTCAACACTAAGCCGTAGAACTCATGAGCGTCTTGGTGCATTGAGTTTCGAAACATTTCATTGTCGCGCTTGAATATCTCGAGGAATCGTTGGGGGCTGAGGACTCCTGTGTGGGTGTTGCTTTCCAGCAATGCCAGAAAAATGTCCTTAAGTCCAGTAAATGTGCACTCATTCATGCCATAAGAAGTGGCATTCTCTCGTGCCAATTCCAGGATAGGCCCTTTGATCATGGCTTGTTTCTTCTTGTATTCGGGGGTATCAGGTTTGTCTTCAGGTCGAACGCCAACCTGTCCAGGCAACTGTTGATTCATGGCCTGTCGTTGCTTGATCACTTGGGATGTACTCAGGCCTTTTTGTTTCGGCAAGGTCTCGACAGGGTCGGTCGGTGGAGGTCTGATAGTGATGGGAACCTTTGGTCGGCTGCCGTTTGTCTCCGAGGGCATAATCGGGGGGTAATTGACAACATTGTTCCTGAAGGATTCGGAATAAAACAGAGCCTGAACGATCGAGTTGCAGTAGCTACACAAAAAGTCAGCATCGTGATATGGCTGTGTGATGTCTCACCAAATCCGTACCATGTGTTCCCAAACTGTTTTCACGTTAGCCTAGTTCTTGCGATGGTAACGTATCGACGACGATGAAAAATAACAGTAGCTCGGACGGGAGTAGGTAGGGCTCGACGTACATTCTCGAGGCCGAAAAAGCGATCGGCGCCGTCGTCTCGAAGGGGAGCTGCATTCTGGAGCATCTTCTCGAGCGGCGTGAGGTCGAGCACGGGCTCTTCCTTCTTCTTCGCGACAACATCTTGCTTGTTGGGTGTAGTGGTCGTGGCCTATGAACCGAAAGCGAGAGGGATTTTGTCAGTCATGAAGAAGTAATCTTGGCGCAACTTAGAGTGAGCGAGAGGAGATGGGGTTGGGACAGTTCAGGGCAGAAATGGAACAAGGAGCGAGTCCAAGACATACAGTGCCAGAACCCTTTATTTTGTTGAAAAAGCCGGCCATGGCGATGTCGTGGTCTCTCTAGTTAGAGCAGGTAATTCAGTCGGAAAGCCGTGGATGGGTGAGCCGATCGAGGGACGTTATCAACACCGACCCGCACGCAACAGCTGCGCAGCAGCAGCACTCAGCGAAGACGATCGCAATTGAGACAAGTGACCATTCGCGAATGGGTTCGTATCTTCTGAAATGGCCAAAGAGTCGCGCAGGACGGGAAAAGTTGAGAAATCGCAAGCCAAGTCGGTTTTAGAGTTGCCGGTTGTGAGCGAGGATGGATTATGGCGCTGGTGTTGGCTGCTGGGCGTCCTGGGGAAAGCGAGGTGCGGGTATGTGGCGTGGATGCGATAGCGCCGGAGGGAACTACTTGCGGTGATCTAAAAGCCGAACCGGAGACAAGAGGCAATCGATGGTCTTGACTGAGAGAATCAGATATAGGTCGTTAGCAAGCGAACTCAAATACACTTTGAGATGGATGCAAAAGAGAGGTGTCAAGTTGCTAAAACTGCAAGAGAGAAAAAAGGCAGGCAAGACAGCTACCAACTGCAGAAAGACTGACTGACTGCCTTACTACCTACACCTTAGGTAGAACCACAGGCGCAGTCAAGGTAGGGATGAAGGGTGGCGGGAGGATGTCCTAGTACAGTAGAGGTCGAGTCCGGGGGAAGTAATAGTGGAGGAGGAGTGACCTGGACCCAGGTCAGGTTCAAGAAGGAGAAGGATGGATCAGTGGCCTCGTGGTTGGATGGCGCCGTGCCCCAACACGGTAGGTGCTGTAAGCTTGTGAGGTCCTACCTACTAACTCAAGGTATGTTATCGATGTTTTGGCTAGGCATGTGTCTTTTCGCAGGATTGCACTTTTCAACGGTGCTGAATCATGTGTAACGTGGACAGTACATAACGGTCTCTTGGGCAGAAGAAGTCATGATGAGATTAGAGCCTAAATAAGCCGACTATGGGTACGTACAGAGCCCGTTGACAAAGCCCACCCGGATACTTCCTCTTTGGCGCACAATTATTCAACAATGTTGACGACAATGGTTGGATAATCTTAAGTGATCGATACCTCCATCAACGTTCTACAGCCGGAAGTGTTGCCGTCTCGACTCTCCTCGCCTGCATCGAGCTACGAACAGGGCCCAGCTCGCGCAAACCCCAGTTTGCCTAGACCACCGAAGCCCCCAAATGGCCCCCTCCAACTCACTAGGCCGTCATGATGGTGCCTCGCGAGTGGGTCCCCCAGAAAATACCATCCCAGAATCAGAGCTAGAAACGGAGCGCGTTAACTCGATTGCTGTGTCCTTGTTAGGTCATAAGGTAGACACCGCCCTCGGGTTTTCAGGAGCTGCTTGTCCAAAGAGCTGGTGGTTTACCGCTGTCAAGTGTTTTTGATCACATGAGATGATATCTCCGCCTTTGCTCGCTAAAGTTGCTAAACGATATCATTGTTGAGGAGGGTCCTGCTTGGGTTTACGTTTACTGGGGTCCAAGGCCTGGCTGAAGATTAAACGTGGCGTGGACGGCTGATAGACGCCAGACAGTGGCCCCATGTCTGGGATCCATTGGCTGTTACGGCAGAGCCAAACGCTACCAGGGCTAAAGTAACGACATGGATATGGAGTTTGGAACAAGCTTCGGATTGACCACTGCGAGACATCGAAACGAATCTGAGTGAGAATTGGATGATGAGCTTAAGATATAAAAGCAACCATGATGGGCTCTTCAAAGCACAGATGGGAATTACTTCGATGGAATTGGGTTGATAGCCCCAATGGAAGCTGCGATCCAAGCTCTGGGTCTGTCTGACCCTTTGGTTTAGCTGGAGGTAGAATTCGTTAGGCAAGGTTCCATCGGAGGAGCATCGACCTTGTCTCCTGCATCCCCTCCCATCCAATCTTTGAAATCGTTAACGGCAAGACCGATGCAAATGACAGTTACCTGTTTCTAAACCAGCAAATAGACTTCTTCCACGATAACTACAGAAAGCGAAAATTCTTCATCTTCTTCCCCTCTGACATCGATGGTTAACATCTAAACAGCTCACACCGGCATTGATCACCGAAAACTCCTCGCACATGTTCCCGGTTCGTTCTGCACTAGCATTTTACCCCAACGGTTTTTGTGATTCGAGAACACTGTTACGATTCGAGGGGGGTCATAATAGCACAGGTACGAAAAATGTGTTAACTGCCTTTAGCCGCAACCAACGACCAGTTCTAAACTCTAGCGGGTGTAGGTATTCGAATCTCGTCATGACATCGCCAATCTAAGCACCAACTTACACTGCTGCTGTAGATGCGGTAAATAACGAACAGCGCCACAACTATTCGGCTACAAAGCCCCCAGCCAGGATAACCTGCGAACCCCTTGTACCACGAGAGGTCATTACCCTTTCATAAGTATCACTTTTAGCCGACCTAAAGACGACGACTCTCAGTTTCTGACGGGAGGCTGAAAATGATAGAGCTTTCAGCACTCTACCACAACCGGACGCCGGGGGAGGCCAGCCACCGCCAAGTCGGATACATTTCTTGGATTCTGTGATGCTGACTACAGCAACAATCGCCTCACTGGAATATCCTTGGCCAACCTTCCAGGGTGGACGCTATCCGATATGTCTGTCTTGTTCCTGAGGTGGGCTGGACTAGTTAGACTGTGATCCTCCCTCCAAGATGTCATGTCTAGGTGGTCTTGGATTGCTGGCACAGCATTTCCGTTTGGTGGAAATGTTTGTCTTGTCTGTAAAGATGTCTCATCATGCAAAGCTACGCGCTCTTTATTTGGAGCATTGATCACAGGCGCTCCCTTCTGTCATCCTCCTTGGACAGAGCAAAAAGCGAGGCAAGACCAGATTCACTCCCTGGTCAAACCCCTGCTCCTTGGCATTGTTAAATATCAACGAATATGGAAGCTTACTGACAAATGACTAGTTCTCTAGCTCCTCTGGATTCCATCACTTTTGGTCATCTATGAGGAGAACTTCAGCATTGAACACGGATACTAAATACAGCTTCACTGTGTTATTGATTAGGTCGCCTTTACCATGAAAGTTCCATAACTCATCGACATTGATGCTCACCAACCGAAGACAACCCCTCATTCGAAGCGTTAGTTAGACACGGATTGTGGGGTTGCCATGCGGCACATCCCCCGTACCCACCCTGCAACTGAACTGTCACCAATCACTAGATCACTCGCTCACAACCGTGTTGACGGTATCCTATCAGTTTGGTCTGCCTCCCATCCTGATCGCCATCAGTCGGCCCGTTACTGCTGATTGTATGTATGCCTTCTTATGCTTCGAATGAACAGATACTGGAAATAGCAAGACAGCAGATGGTCTCCTGACTGTGTCCATCCAATCCAAGGGATATGACAGCCTGTGTTGGCAGGTTGGCTAAGAACTTAGGTACGGACCGACAGTCCTTATTTATCTGTGGATATCCGGGTTGCTCTCACGTGCGTCGGTCCCGGAAATGTTGCTGGCTGTTGTCTAGCTGTCTTGGATATTGGGTCATCTCACCGCTGTTGGTTGGCTGACTGACCAACAACCAGAACAATCAATCCCTCGGCATACCATCTTCTCCGACCCGGCCCAAGTGGATATTCTTCTCCAGTCTTCATTAATTGATGAAGCCAGTGTTGCCAGTCCATCCTGACTGTGTTAGTTCCTCGATGCTGGTCCAACGTTAGGTAGCAGTGAGGGAATATAGAATATCGGCGAACCATTGTTACGCCTATGGCTAGTGATGATGCCACCCAAACTGCAACTGCACCAAGGGGAGAAGTGTTCTGGAACAAGCGTCAGTTCCACTAGCTCTCTGTAGTTTCGTAACCGGCCGCGCATCGCATTGCATTAACGCACACAAACCGCGCCGTTCCCCGCGGTGCCCACCCATCTCGATCATGTACCATGACGGCATTAGACGTGCCTGTTTGGGCAAAGTCCTCGATTCCCTTCACCAAAAGTAATACCAATTTCACTCTCATAGACAGAGCCTCTCACTGTAGCTCCGATGTTGAAAACAGCTAATGTCAAACAGAGTTATCAAACGCTGGACATGATATGAGGGCTGATATCGTGGCATTAGTGTTGATATCCATTCCGCTAAAGTGACCTATGGCATCAGTGCCTTGTCAAGTAATCAGACCTTCAGCCGGAGATGTAATGCCGGTATACCAGACCCTCTTTTGTCAGCTCGCTCAGGTTTCCATACAATCATGAACCAAAAATGTGAGCGGCACAGCCGGCTTTCGTTGTAGCATACAGATCTCACTGCAGAGGGCCAGGTACTGTATTATTGGACATAGCGTCAAGGAAAACGAGTCCACGTCCCTTGGCGATTATCACTTTGTCCGGCTGCAAGCTTTAATGTCTCTTTCAGATCGCCCATGCAAGAAACTAACGGGATGACTTATAAATCCCTCTCACGGATCGAAGTAGACCAAGGGTGGCATGCTTCCGTCTACACCATGCTTCCGTCTACACCATGCTTGCTGTACATAGCTGCTTGAGACCCAAGTCGTATTGATAAGCTGTGTGTTCCCAGGGTTCAGGCAGGCTGTTCCACATAGATCCGACCATCCCGATGATAGATATCACTCAGTCTGTTGCTTGGGGTCCAGCATTCTCGTAGAAATGGGTTGTTCATTGGCCTATCAACACTGTCTCTTGCTTCCGAACCACCTGAACGAACAGAAAACGACTACACACCAAAAAGTCCCCAACAACTGTGGCACAAGCGACTCATATGCAATTTTGTAAGGGGAGCCAACGTAGCCTACTCCTGCTTCTGGGCTGGAGGTGGAGCACCGCCAGTGGTAGGGAGACCCATAAAGATCTTGAAGTAGTCCTTCACGAGGTGTTAGTAGACAATTCCGAAGGTATATCCAGTCACCGTCGAGACTGCGCAGGAGTACTTACATAGATCATCCACTGAAGTCCGGTAAGAGTACCGATCATGACAATTCGCACGGGGAGACCATTCCACAGGCCTCCGAAACCAATGTCTTTGTATATCCTGCTCATGGCTCCGCCGAAAGCCTCGCCAGGTTGACGGTTGGAATTTAACTTGCTGACCATAACATCGGCAGGGTGGGAGACGATGGCGCACAAGATACCGGCCAGATAGCCACCAGTAAAAGAGACACCAGTCTGTGCAGCCTTGCTATAGTCACTCTTTTGCCCGGGCAGGCGATCGTAGATCATCTCAACGATGGTTTCAAACGAGGCAAACTTCATCATTGTATAGGGGATTTGGCGACCCCATAGCGGATACAAGCCTTTGTATAGGCCAGCGACGCCTTCCTTGCCTGTGATAGTGCTGATGCCTTGGACTGTTCCCGTGTAGGGGTTAGGGATCGAGCCTTGCATACGGACCTTGACGGCTTCGAAGGGGCAGAGGGCAAGATCAGCGAGAAACTCAGCGGAGGCAGAGGCTGCAAGATAAAGACCAGTCTTGTACTTATGCGCGGCCTCGGGACCAGCCATATCAGAGTACGTTTTCTTGAAATATTCGTACCAACCATACTTGAAAGCGCCTTGGGCAGAGTAGCCAAAAAGGGTTGGACTCCAACCCGTGAAGATACCACGAACGCCTTCAGCGCGGTAGATCTTGCCCCATGCCTGAAAGTTACTGGTATAGAGTTTCGAGTCAACTTGTCGACGGGTTTTTACGAGATCCAAGGGAGTTACGGCAGCGTGAGTGAGACCCTGATTCTGATGAGTACAGTTTCTACATACTGGAAATTGGCAGACCGGGAAATGTTCCTCGGCCGAACACTGAGATGGAGACTTACACAGGCCATCAGGCCACCAAAGGTGCAGGCGGCATAGTACTTTCCAGAGTATAGCTCGATCTTTCCAGCCTTGGCTTGAGCTTTTGCGCTCGCCTTTTCAAATTCAGCCGTCGCCTCGGCGCTCAGCTCCTTGGCTTTGCCCTTAGCATCTTGTATGACGGAGGAGTAAGCGGGAAAGAGCTCAAGGCGAGCCTCATAAGGAGTACGGGGCTTTGCTGAGAGGGGACTGTAGACCGTTCCCTGGAGGACGTCCTTGGATGGGTGCAACGGGGACATTATCGCAGTCCGATGCAGGCGATGATATTCTACCAGTCCAGCGTGTTAGTGATACTCATGTAAGTCAAGGGTGGAGCTGATCAATTGATACTCTAAGCACGAGGACCACGGAGAGTGCTTGCAGTGACAAATAAGGGGAGACAAAGAAAAGGCGCAGATACAGGTGCAAGAAACATGATCTGCCCGATTGAGCCGGCTGGTGATACAATGTGACTCGGGAAAAGCGGTTGCTGCTGTTGAACGTACCTGATATGACCTTTCAGCTACAGCGAGAGCTTAACCCAGAAGCTATTACGCCGTAGTAGGTAAAGAGAAAATATCGCAGGATGATAATACGAGAGAAAGAAACCAGGAAACGTCCAAGGAAGGTTGGTGTAGTACCTTATCCTGCGGAGTTAAGGTGGTGTGTGACTTCCAATTCCGTGAACTGGGAGGATGACGCTCGTAGCAGGCACATTTGAGCGGATGGTGACATCACGCTTATCACATCTACCTTCGCGCTTTCTCATATCATCCATACCTACCAGGTATTGGACACTTCCATTGTTTTATCTCACCAATACAATGCAATCCATTCTCTGAACACTGGTTCCCATCTTAGCTCAGCCATTTGCTTCACCTTTGATACACATTTATTCCACTTAACTTAGATGGATCTCTGTTGAACGCTAATCAAGAACTCTAGCGGGAAGATCCACGGCCTGCAGATGGGGCTTGTTCCCGGAGCTGTGGAGATAAGGAAGCTAGAGCTCTGTTGCTATTCAATCCCGATGGATGATTTATTTCGACACTAGCTATAAAATACATGGGATGATAGAATAAATGAGGCATAATACCGCTCATATCTGCCATATTCCTGCCATCTCGAATCAAGCATGTTTAATTATTGAGCCGACAACAAGCTACCTATGCCCCTAGTTTTAGATTATGTAGTTGCAGTAGCACCAGTCATAGAGTCTCTTGGCTGATAGAGAAGTGTTTGTCGATTCACCATTGAAATGACCCATGTCATGATGCTAACAAAAAAGCTCCCATTTTTTCCTCTCTGCCCCACCATGTTAGAGCATTTTACGTGACCCCAATAGGTGGGTAGGTAGGTGACTGACTGTATAGAATCCTGCCCCGCGATCGCTTCAACTCCCCAACCTTTCAACTTGAATCAACTTGTGCGCCAATCACTGCCAACATCTTTTCCTTCACTGTTAGGAAGAGCTATTGTATATAAAAATGGCTACTGCTACCGCCACTGCTACCACCACAACTTCGGGTGCGACACAGCCCTTGGTTACAAAGTGGTCTTCTCGATATCGTGGGGTATGTACTTCTCATGACACCACTTTGCGCTCCGGGCCAGAGGCATATAGCTTCTATGAAGAATACAATTCCCTCGAGTTGTGTCTAATGCATCACAGGCCACTGTCGAAGATCTCGACCCCCCAGCCGCACTCTCACTCAACCCCTCCGATGCCATCTCCCTCGCCCTCATGTCCGCCTTTGAGCGCGACTACACGCACCTGACCATCGTCGACGCCGACACCCGTGCGTTACTAGGCTACATATCCATTCCTCACCTCCAGTCCCTTATCGACTCAGGCAAGGTCAAGCCTGAAGATCAGCTCTCAGCCGCCATGACACGCTTCCAGCGCAAGGGCCGTACCTACCAGGTCATCACTATGGAGACGACCCTCGAGGAGCTTGAGAACTTCTTCCGTGGCGGCGTATCTGATGGGCCGTGGAAGCAGGAATTTGCCGTTATCACGGATGAGAAGAGGAGGTTTGTCTTGGGCGTCGCGACAGTACAGGACCTCGAGGAGTTTGTGAAGCGAAGACCCGAGTAAAGTGGTTATTTTTAGCATGTGATATCCATGCCAGAACTGGGGCCCAAATACCGAGGAACAAAGGCCGCGGGAACATAGCGCAAGGAGCAAAAAGAAAACAAGAAAGAGTCAGTCAAGCATCATGGATGGGCGTTGGGGAAATAATGGCCTGAGCATCATGGGGGACTACGGCAGGCTCATAACAACCAGCCAGGCAGGAAAGCTGCTTTCAACATAGCGCAATATATGGGATAATACACATTGGTGAACACAAATGTTGTGTGGTGCGACTGGTGCATAGACACTCAGTTTAGGATGCCTTCATATCGGTGTGTCAAATTATATTTGTCTCATGAGTAACTATCGCATGAGTCACTGAGTGATTATCAAGCATTGTTATCGTCAGTCGTCTATACTAGGTCAAGTAATGTTCTGGAGCAATCCCATCTCTAAGCCTGGTAGTCGTAGATGAGCTTGGCGGTGACCTTCTTGTCACCCTTGGTCACCAAGATGTGCCTCACATATCTCCTCTCGCCGTTGATCTCCTCGAAGCCCCAGATCTGATTAGCGACCCAGCCGTTGTCGACGCTTTCAGCAATGCTCTGGATGAACTTGCCATCGCCCTCGGTAAGCCAGCCAGTCTTGAGGAAGTCCTCCTCAATTTCATCGAGAGTGACGAACCTGGATCGACCCCTGACGGCGCCGAACAGCCAGTCCGAGTGCTCACGGTTGTTGAAGTCGAGGCAGCGGTTCTCGTGAGTGCTGCTCAGGCCAGAGGCAGACTGGGTGATGTCGATGTGGGTGAAAACGTCGGTGGATGTGTTGGGGGGCTTTGGAGGGGCGCTGTACTGGTTGATTTCAAGGCTGATGGTAGCCAAGCCAATTCCCTTCCGAGTGAGGTATCCGATTCCCTGTAAGCTGAGGATAGGCTCAGAGCTGTCGGAAAGAGTCTTGTTCTATTGCGAACCACTGTCAGTGACAAAGAAACAGGGGTGCATTATGTGGAAGCGGGGGAGTGCAGCATACGAGAACCCATTTACCACTGAGGTCAGTAATGGTCTTTTCGGCGGGAGCAGCCATTGTTGTGTTGCGATTGATAGGAATATCAAAGATGTGGGTATTCGTGTAGATACTGTTTGAGGAGAAAGAGAACAACTTTGGTAGATTGTTGGTGGTGGTGGTATGGATAAGTAATAACTTAAGGCTGCGTTGCTGGCAGATGGTGGATCGAAATGACGCTATCAAGGATTCAAATCGCAGATGTATGGTCCTTCCTCAGAGTATAGGTAAACACGCCACAAATGACTTGTATTACCAACACTTTTACTGAGTGGGAAGTATAAGGTAAGGCAAGGTAAGTTCAATGTTGAACCAGACAACTGGGCCCCTCCTGGAGAGTCTGCCTTATATACCCATCTTTTGTTTGCCAACAACGAGGCTGCGTGCGTGAGTGAATGATTGCGTTTGTTTATCACAAGCAACGCCGAGAGAGGCGCATGATCGCCGAGGTCAAAAACATGGCTAGGTAATTGCAGAGCCACGTTTCATTGAATTGTGTAAAGAAGACCACGGCCCAGTTTGAGCTATCTTTCCAAGCATTTACCAAAATAGTAGGTGTTCAATTTTCATAACACAGATAGTAGGGGTGCGTCTATGAATGAATGGCTGTCTAATAGTGCGGGGGAGAGCTACGTTGAAAGAGGCTGAGCGACGATGGCACAAGACAAAAGACGAGACAGGAATCCCATTCGAAACTCGAGAGGACGGGAACAATTCGAATAAGGAAGTTGAGCCGCAAATGCGCAAACAGCTTCGGATTTGCCAAGAAGCGGACTTTTCTTTGGTCCCGGTGGGTGGCTCTGAGAGAATCCCCCCATTCATTTTACCACAACATAACTAAGGTATGCTTTTACTTGCATCATATCATGACAACTTGAGGAATATTCACCATGAACACCAAGACACGAAGTAGTTGCCCTACTCCGTGATACCTTGTACAAGTTTCACCTGTCAGTTGTCGTTGCAAATAATGACGTCTTCCCTTTCTCTCACACTCTCCCACTCACTCATCATATGATATTACCCCTTGTAGTAGGTGCTTCTTATTCGCTTGGCATGGATCTACCTATCTCACCCCAACATGTCAAACCCTCATATTATCAAAATTTCACGACGTCGACCAAGAATCTCCCCCAAAGTCTCGTCCCCGCATAGGTTGCTAATAAACCTCAATCTCCACCTTCGCATGGATACTGCGACTCCAACTTCACCATTTCGCTTCCACATGTTGCTTATTAACCATCACAAACCTCGGCTCAAGTCACGGCAAGCATTCTTTTCCATCACTTATACGGAGTAGATCCCCAGATCATCCTACCCTTATCAATACTATTTTCCATGAGCAATGCTGTGTACACTATGCCCGACATCACAAGCAGTGAAGCCCTCATTTAACATGTAACTAGTATATTCGCCTATAATTATTAGCCTATCCTCTACTCGGGTACACTCATCTCCTACGACCTTTGCCCTCCGTATCCCCCCCTAGCATCCAGGTCGTGCATGTATAGCATTTTCATCTACCTCCCCAGACATCACCATCACCTGTTGGCTGCGCCAATTCTCATCTGACACTAAATCAGCTGAAGCTCAACCCTGTCAAGTCTTGCTGGCCCTGCTCCTCATGCCGTTGGCTTTCGTCATCCCGGGTATCGTCCGTCTCTTTCCAGCAACAGGCGGGTTCTTCGCTAAGTCGAGTTCATGCAAGAAACAAGCCAAAACCAATGCGAATTTTCATCCGTGCATGCATGCATACGCACGCACGCACGCCATACAAATCATGTCATGTCACGTCGCATATGTCGTCTTCAACCATTTCCCGGCCCCGATCAAGGCCACCACTTCATCTTCTTGTAGCTCTCGATCACTTCCTCGATCAACTCCTTCGTGAGGGCAGGCTTCTTGTACTCAAAACCCAATAGTGTCTTGAGCCGCGTTCCGTCCATACTGAGGTCCGTATCCTTGAGTAATTCCTTCTCCATGAATGGAGTCAGCGGGCCCGGTCGTGTAATGCCCGCATCTGCGAGGAGGTCGGCCCATGGTCCCAGGAGCTCGTCATTAACATCGTCCACAACACTATCGAGGTTGAGTCGAGCAAATGTACTGATAAGCTGGCCCTGGAAACCTGTCTCGATCTTGAAAATATCACCAATAATTGTCGCTATGGTGCCCTGACTTGTCGCACCCTCATCCACGATGTTGAAGATGGGGATCTTGCCCATGCTGGCCTCGTCCCACTTCGCCTTGCCTGCATCAAACCATGCTGCGATTTCCCACAAAGCCCGTGTTACATCGTCAATGTGTGCTGTGTTAGTTCGGAGGTCCTTGGTCCAAAGCCACTTCATTTCGTCTTCAAGGTGTTGATAAGTGCGAGCCATGCACAATGCCGTCGCGACCCACTGAGAGGCATAGGGTCCATAGACGTGCGGTAAACGCACGATGATGAGGTTCAGGCTGCACTGTGCATTAGCGAATTGAATGCTCAAAAGTCATGGTCTCACTATACCCTTCAATTTTGGAGAGCTCCTCCTCAGCCTGCAGCTTAAACACAGCAATCCGGTTCCAAGGTTTGATTTTATCTCCCTCTTTGCTTGGTGATGAGTCGGACTTGTACACCATGCCTGTGCTCAGCTCAACAAAGGCCTTGACTCCTCTTTTGGCCGCCTCTTTGCCCACTGCAATGGAAAGGTTCAACGATCGAAGCTTGTAGACCTCATCCTCCTGTGAGTACCTCGTCTCACCTCCACAGTTAAAAACATAGTCCCATTGTTTTCCATCTGGTCGGTCAAAAATTCGTGCCAATCCTTCTGGAAAGAGGGGAAACATATAGTTAGCCAACTAGTCATACATAAGGCAGCCACCTGCACCAGCAAGCGGGGCTGTCAGCAACAGAGTAAGCAGTGTAGAAACTCACCAGGTCTACTGGCATCAGCCTGCATGAATTTGTCTTGTGAGCAGGCTTCGGAGAACTCAGGAGCTAGCCATGCGAGTTGAGGCAGGACTTTGTCAACGAGCCTCACATCGGAAGCGAGCTCGTTCTGGTGGATATGGAGGGCCAGAAAGCGGCCAATGTAGCCAAGCCCTCCAATAATCAGGACCGAAGGCTTCTCGGCCATGTTCGTGAGAGTTATGTTGTTCGGGTCGTGATATAATCGTGCGCAAACGTGGGGTCAAGGTGACGGTGCAGATGCCTTGACGTCGGCGGCGAAGGCGATATATGGGAAGATATAGGTGAAATGAACAGCAAAACACGCTTCAGCTCTGCAGGTCTAGTGAGGTGCCTTGGCAAAATCCGCTTCTAATGTGAACGAGACGGACAAATGGTTACTGTGCGAGGAATATTGAGCCCAAGTGCCAGGACGAGATTGTTCGGCTTCAGGGGGTAGAGGGTTGTAGCTGAGTGAATGGAAACCGGCCAATAGGTCCCACGGGGTGCCGAAGGTGGACGGATTTGCGAGACTCGGTGAGATTTAGCGTTGGTAGAAGCGAGGTGATTCGGGTTTCTCGTGGATAGAGAGCGGGCTGAGCAGTGACCTAGCACAGTAGTTTGATGGAGAGGAGGGCCGTAACCTGGCATGGAGTCACGCAAGTAAGTATATATTAGGGCGCCATGGGGCAAAGGAAGTGCTTGGTTCGGACATACAGTAGCACTGATCTAGCACTTTTTATATCGAGCCCCAAAAGTGCTGGTGCGGCGACGGCGTAGAGACGATGTGCGGGAGCAAAGGGGAACAAGTTTGATCCAAGGCGGGAAGGCAACGGGAGGACGGACGGAAGACGGAACCAGATGGGCGGGATGGTATAGGATGGGAGGTGGGAGTGGAGGGAAACACGATCAACAGATGTAGCAATTTCAACTTTGCGAGGGCACGAGGCGACGCACCAACCGCTCTCTGAGACGAGCGATGGATAAACAGGGGTCTGAACTAATAAAGTCAAGAGACCCAACTTTGGATCAAATCTTTCTTGAACGAGGCCACACGACCGAGCCTGCTGAGGTGAGCTTGGAAAGAAATAGCTAGACCCTTGGGGCCCTCGAAATTCCGTCGATGAGGGGTGGACTTGATGGACTGAAGACGTCGTGAAGTGGATCTCTTGTTGAGAAAGTTCGAAGGGGAGAATCGGCCAGTGTAAGAGTGAGTGGGATGCAATGTGGACTCCTTTTCCAGCAAAAGGGGCCCAAGTCTTGATGCTGGCTGCTCTCTAGTTTAATGAGGGGCGTGCTGTGGGTTTATGGGCGTGAAAGGCCCTGTCGAAAAGCTCGATATTGTGCCCTACCGAATATCAGGCACCAAGAAGTTTGCTCATCTTATGTGTATTCCATCAGCTGGTTCTGAGACTGAGACTCATGTTTCACAGTATTTCGTGGGTGGCCATCCCTTCTTTTATGCCCTAATATTGACTAAATGCTATACATATCTGGGCAGTTTGCGGTCATGCATGTATAAGATGCACGGCAAACCAAAGGGAGCCGTGGCCTGAAAGATGAGTTAGAATGCATATGTGGGTGGCTTGTGGAGGGGTCTTTCTACTTCCATGTACATGTACAGTACATGGGTAAGTTGTGTCAAGAGGGAGCCCACTCCCATCAGTCCATTCCTAGTCTCAGGTCAAGGTTCTGGGCGGAACAGTCTTTTTTGTGGTTTGAGCTGAGGTCCATTGCTGTTTTGTTAACTCGAGATCGGCTCAAATCTCTCATCTTTCCCATCAGTTCCTCAAAAAAGACTTGGCAGGAGGCTGACTTTGACACTTCAAAGAAGCGAGTCAGGGCCAAAGAAGGCTTGGAAGTGCTGGGTCGGTGGGGGGTAGCCGTGCCGTAGCTGGCGGAGACGCGATGCGAATTGGCGGTCATGCGGCTGGACAGTTACTGTAATTAATTCAGAGCTGCAGGACGGATTTGCAGGGTGTCCCGTTCATCATATCGCCGGCCTAGCACCTAGCTACCGAGCCTGTAGTGGGCCTCGATGTTCGTCATTGTCACTGCGACCAGGGACCAGGGACATGCCGAAAGAAGGGACTAGGGTCAAGGGTCAAGGAGCATGACAGCCGCCGTCCTTGCCTGAGACTACCATTATTACGGAGTGACTAGGTCTTTGCATTTTCTTGTACTCACTCTGAGAGTTGTCAACAGCTTGACATAGTTCAAGTCGAGCCGAGCGAGAACTGCAAACCTGCGAGAGAACTTTTCGTTTGTGATATATATCAGGCGACGGTTTCGCCTGCTTGTGAGCACCCAGTCATAAAGTATCTGGTCAGACTGACCTCATGGGTGGTAATTACCAATACTGTTGAACGATATAAACTCATTACCCCATGGGTAAGGGCCGAAAGAAAGAAGAAGAAACTCAGCACTTGGTTGGCGAGGGCGCTTAATTCTTGAGATCAATATCTGGCGGCCAGCATGGCGCAAATCATGCTTTAGGTGTCACTTCCGAGTCCACATAAACGACGAGGCTTATTTTGGTCATGCCACAGTTCCGAAGAATGCCATGATGCCAGACTGTTGCTTCAAGACACCAGGCTAAAACTCCTTCGTGAGGGTAAATTGGCGATATATCGACTGTCACTTAATACGTCCTGTGCATACATACAGTGCAGCAGAGGCCTGATTTTAGCGCTGGGTGCCGGCATGTGCGCCGATCCAAGATCCCGTTCGGGCCGCCAACAGGGCCATCTTGGTCTTTCCAGATAGAACTGGAGGCGCTGTACATATGTACTGTAATCTCCATGGACAGTCAGTCAACCGACGTCGAGGTTGGACGTGCAATAACCAATTCTTGCCAGCGGTTCGCAGCTTGCGGTTCTGCCTCTGCGGCTGTACCTGAATTTCAGGGGCAGAGCACGTATCTGACAGGTGCGCATGTGGCAAGCGGCTGGAACGAGATCAGGAACAGGAACAGAATGATGCGGGGCCGTTTCTAGAATTCTTCCATTTGTGTCTCTACTAATGAAGAAAAGAAGAGGCATTAAACGAGAATTGGTGACGACTATAGTAGCTGGAATGGTGGAAAAAGTTTGTGATAGTTGATGAACTACATATTTATTATAAGGTAATTCAGAGTCTTACAACCGGCCCAAGTGTCAAGAAGAGCGCAGAAGTCACTATTATGCCTGCCTTCTCAGTCAGATTGTACCTAGGTACCGATATCCTGGGCCCTCCATGGCAAGTACCTTACCTTACAGCTGGGTACCGATCTCATGGAAGTCAGGTAGTACCGGCCTTGTAGTACCTTACCTTACTGGGAGGTAAGTGCACCTCACTCCAGCCTCACAGCGAACATGGAAAACAACATCCAGGGATCAACAATCTTAACTCTACCTCAACACTAGGATATCCTGATCAGAAGCAATTATCTTCCGTCTTCCTTTCTGGCCTATCACATAGTCTATAGACCCGCGCCATCATCTTTTCCTCCATATTCCAACACTACAGGACGGCCTCTATATAGCCTCTTCAACGCTAACGCCTAATAAATAAATAGAGCCAACACACCAAAAGCACAGCCCGAGCGCTGGCATAGAGCACCAGGGCCCTAAGATCCGTAGCTTTTGTCTGCATGTCAGATGCGCAACACAGACCTTATTGCGCCCAGGGAGTACATGGGAAAGAAGAGAAATCGAGAGTATCGTGATCCTTGTCGCTCTCAGATCACTGTTCAACATGGCCTCGGTTTACTGCCTTTCGTGTTATCGCTAGGACTTGTTCTACGATTTTAAGCGCCCTGTTCACGTCTCCTTGATCCTCTTGTTCAGTTCCCTGTCGATGTTTCACTGTCTCTGAGACTGCTGTCTATCATATCTGACATGAAAGTGGCTACTGCATCTTGCAACCACGTTCCCCATCTTCAGCCAGGCCTCAAATTCACGCCCATCTCGAGTCAAGGGTGGGCTATCCTTTTATCCCTTGGGCATTTATTAGAATGTATCAGGTACTAGGCTCAGTGGAAAGCTGCGGCAAGGTTTCTACTAACCATGCAGCCTGTCAATGTATTTCCACGGCAGTGCAGAGCATGTCATCTACCTGACTCAGAAGGTCCTGAATCCACGTCCCTAGCGCACCATGGTACTCGTATGGTGCAACTATGATAAGCCACTATTTGTCGTCTAACAGAGCATCATGGTCTCAAGACCACCTCGACGAAAAGCCGCCAACCGATATGGGCAACGATATTCACAAGATGTAGTCCTCCCGAGCCTGATGAGAGCCCACATGGTAAGAAGCTATCTACTATTCGGACATCCCACGCGGTTGACTTTATCCTCGGTCGATGTCCATGAGTTCATGGCGGGCCAGCAGGCCCATTGACTTGGGGGAAAGAACTTGATCGACGTCTAGGGTCAGGCTCGTATCAATTAATCGTGCTAGCCTATACAAGTAGGTTGGGCCAAAGTTGGCTACCTTGCTTGGGCTGTGTCGATAATATCTTGTCATCTACGGCGGATAAAAGCCTGTGAGTTACGGGAAAGCGGGCGGGTTAAGATGCTTTCAAGCTGCTCAATTACGATCGAGCACTCATGTACGGAGTAATTATTCATGAAACCAGAGCTAACGCGAGCATATCGTATTGGAATTGGACGTCCAATAAGCATGTTTCTGTGATTTCTTCCGTCATCACGGGGTTTAGCCACTGCCTGAGGATCATGCTCTATCTCCTGGTTATGGTAACGAGTCCTTCGATGCAAACGCTGGATGAAAGCAAAATGAGTATTTCAAACAATCTGCACATCTATCAAGGCTCGCTCTTAGTGCAATCAGAGGCCAATACTCGCACAGGATGACACCACGGTGTGGTACATGTATCTCGAGACAGTCTATCGAGGGACTTGCTCTTCAACATATTGAGTGAATCGGTTTGGGTGCAAATCATCTTCTCATGCTTCCGATGAGTTCACGCTGAGCCTCGCGATCCCGTGCCCCCTCGCTCAAGCTTCCAATGCTCCTGAGATCGCCCACCACGTCCTTGGCTTTGCCAAAGTACACCTCCTGCAGGAGATTGCGCATCTTGAGTTCCATATCCTCAACCAATCGTCCCACATTGGCGATGTGGCTATCATCGTTGTCAACAGGGAGATCCTGCTCAACCTGGCGTGTCATGTTGCCACTAAGGTCCATCTCGCCCAGGTTGCCACCAGCCGTAGACAGGGTCAGGATCACTGTCGATGTGAGCTTATAGTGTGTGCTTCTTCCTCGCTCAATTGCCTCGAATACATGGATGGAGTCCCATACACCTTCGGAATTGCCGCCTTGGGGGGAAGCTAAAAGGGGATATCTAGTCAGCTTTGACGGCTCCAAAACAGTTATGGCACTTGTCAGGGGAACTTCATACACTTCTTGAGAAGCACGACCCCTGCGAATCCGTCATCAAGGTTCCAGAAGTAAACACTGCTCACACCACCTTCGTAGTATAAATCGCGATAGACATCGAAGGCCTCGTTCGCCTTGACCTCCATCTTGCGAACACGTTCACTCGGAATCGCACCCTCGCCAGCGCCTTCGTTACCGCCAGCACCTACACCACCTGATCCAGCTTCATCCAGAGGAGGGTCGAATTGGTTTGACCACGGTGAGCGATAGCTGTCTCCATCGCGGTTGTAGTCGCAGAGAAGGTAGTCTCGGCCGGTCTGCTTGCAGCGGCGCACGCTTAGGGGCTGATCGACGGACGACAGAAGATCTTCGGTCAGGTCTGGAGCGATAGAGATGATGGCGTTGAGGTGGTCTGTCGTCTGCTTAGGGTTGAGACGGCGGAGAAGGTCTCTGGGGGTTGAACGGTCAGCGATACGGGGGAGGACGTCATTGCGCGGGAGGTTCGAAGTGCTTACAGAGCGGAGTCAAAGGGATCGACAGCCATTATTATGGACTTTCGAGGGCTTTGGCTACGTTAGTTGAGAGACTGTGTAAGATTGAAAGGTGGTTGTTGTTGTTCAGGTACTGAAGACGACTAGTGGTTCAGGCGGTCCTCAAGTCGAGGTGAAGCTCTGCGACGTTATGGAGTAGCGGGGTCAGGGAGCTCCGTGTGGAGTACGTACTGCAAGCCCATGTAAGTGGTAGCTAAGGTAAGCTCATGGAAGATTAGATCCTAAGGTTAGGTACCTGTTATTCCCGGCTGAGAAGCTATACAGACAGTTACGAGTCTATTACAGTTTAGGTTTAATGCAAAGGATCAATCAAGGTTGGCTGATAATCGACAGGAAACTAGACATATACCGAAATGCTTCTACCAGTTCAAGTAATAGTGTAAAACCCTACTAAGACTCTTCACCAGGTATTAAGGCTGTGAAGCCGCAAGTTACAGGAAGGAAAGTCAATTAATGGAGACAAAAAACACTTTCAAGAAACAACAAACCCTTGATGATGCCTAGCAAAGCAAAATAACACTATAGCCCAGCCCAGCCCAGAGGCAGGGAACCACCACCTTAGCACCCTAACCTCTACCCAACTCGATACCAATATAAGCTATTCGACCTACTTCCCGAGTTTCCCTCCCAGTCGGCAGGTTTCAAGGCTCTCTCCCCTTACCCATCCGGCCCCGTAGACTATACTACCTCTGCTCTTTTGCGTCGCATTTAATTGAAAATCATAGATAAATAATAGCAAAACAGACGCATCTTCCTCACCACGCGCAAGTTCCAAGACCAACCAGCCCATCTTCCAATCTCACAGCATAGCCATATTCGCCTCCAACGCCGCGCCCGTGATGTCCACCAGTGGGCGAATCGCCAAGAAAGTCACCTCGAAATTTTCACAAAAGAAACCCTAACCATTGACCATCCCGATGAGCCGTATCGAGTCTACAGCTGCGTCAGGCCATCCATATTGTCCGCAGGTCATCATTAACATGTTAGGGCACCGCATGGCCCCCCTAAGCAATGTCGAGTTGCACCTTGTAGACTCAAGGAGTCTGCTTACCGGAGCAGACTCGGGGTAGCTACGTGGTCATGATATTGAATGCTTAGTCAATGCTGGAACCACACAGCAGACAATGAGCCTTCTCGGTCCAGGTCTTGTCGCCACCCGTTACGTTCTCGCGCAGATCACGAATCTCCCATGCTGTGGGGCCGTCTTGCATCTTGAGAGTGGCTTCGAAAAGTCCCAGGTATGGCTTGGAGTCTGCAGCCTTCTTCTTGCGACCTTTCTTGGCCGATCCTTTGGCTGATGCGGTGGTGATAGATCGGGATGGCGTCGGCCCAGGTGTAGGGGTTTCTGTTTCGCGAGGTGTTTCGCGAGCAGTCTTTTTGACGTGGACGTTATCGCTTGTTTCGCCGGAGTGGACATCGATCGTAGGTTGTGTCTCTTTCTCCCCTGCGTCAGTGGGCGATAAAGGGCGCGTCGCCTCCTCGGGCTTCTCTTCCTTGACGGCCGACCCCTCGGTTCGATGGGGCTTGTCTGTTCCAAGTCGCTCGTAGACTTGCAGGAGAATTTCGTGAGCCATGCATTCGTGATGCATCCACTTCCCGCAACTCGGGCTTGTGCACCCAATCAGGGTCTTGTCAGGGTTCGCAGGAGTTTGACATTTGCACATGAGCTCAACGGACTAAATAGTCATCAGTACTTTCGGATACTAAATGAGATGTCGAGACATACCGAGAGTTGCATGTTGCGGCAGTCGTACGCTTGACGCCAATAAAGCGCGTCTTGGATCTCCTCGTCATCTGACTCAATCCATTGGTTGACGGTGACGGGTCCTGTAACACTGACAACATTGATAATGTCCACTAGAAAAAGGGTTAGTCGCATTGCAACAGAATATCGGTCAGTAATCTAGAACATACTATGATTAGAAGCGATCAGCTCATTATTGCCATGGTACGGCTGGCGGCCTTGAACGGTCTTTTTGCCGTCAAGTGTTCCGTACGGGAGTTCGTCCGGCCAGTACATCCAATAAACACGTGCATAGACGTGGTGCTCATCGGAAGCACGGATCTCGAGGATACGCGCGACCCAGTCATTATTGCTCTTCTTGTAAATACCCTTACCATCACCTTGAGCCTTCTGTTGTTCAATCGTCACCTCGTTGGCAACGTTGACAAAGCCTTCACTGTAATACTTGACACTGTTGACTGCCAAGAGTTAGCCATAAGCCCGTACAGCGGACGGCGCCGACATTTCATCGGATACTTACGGACGAAGCTGTTGTAGCGCGTCATATCTTGCCATCGTTTTCCTGGGTCGACAGTGTAGTACAGGTCCATGTTCTCGTGTGTTTTGAAATTGCCCGTTGGGGAGAAAGGGGAGATTTGAATCTGGACCCGTTTGTCGTCATCTTGGCCATCGCGCTTCCGCTTCTTGTTTTTTTGACGATCCGCCTGAGTAGCCGCAGGGCCAGTCGCGTAAGTAATCGTAAAAGGGCACTCAGCGCGATTCTCCTCCCCGACGGATCGCGATCTCTTGCGATTGCTCATTGTGGCGGTTTGATGCGGTTGGGTATGACCGCGTCGGGAGTGGAGAGAAGGAGGGGTTTGCAGAGGAACAAGGCGCGCGAAGAAGCGACGTGGAAATGGACGAAAATGTTATATAGAAATGGAAAGAGAATTGATTTGACTGGATTTTTCGATGTCGCGATCTGTGCTGAGCCGAGCCCAAGCTGCCTTTGAGCAACAAGCCGCGGCTTGCGATGATGTCCTGTGCGCAACGAAAGAGACTCGATTTGTCTGGGAGAGCAACGTCGCAATCTGCGGAAGAACTAAGAACTGAGCCAAAAGCCCAAAAGACTTGCGTCACGTGACCGAGCTGGCACTGGGGCCACCTAAACACCTAAGCTGATGGACGGAGTTCAGTCCTACCTAAGGAAGAGCGACTAGCGCCCAGCGTTAGTCAACGCGTCTGGACAAGCCTTGGCTTAGTAGCGTAGGTAGATTATTAGAGGCGCAGGGTGAGGGAGTCTTGGCGCGATTCAGTTTGGGGTTTCGGAACCTACTTACCTTAGCCCAGAGATGAAGATCGATGATAGACTCGCTAAAAGGGTAAGGGATTGGATGGGTGAGGCGCAAGTGTAAAGTTTTGAAGAGGCAAGGTTGTTTCAAGGTGGAAAGCAACAGGAAGAGTGAAGGGATTGCGAGAGAGGAAATGCAGGCGCGTTTGCGTTACATTGAGCGTAGACTTAGGCCCCGGAAATCCGTGCAGGGAAGTCCGTTTCTAGAAACTCCGATCCAATAATTCATAAAGCTCACGCGTTATTCATCGCTACCTTACCTCATATACCTTAGATATCTATATACATACTTAGTATGTAGAGCGCCCCAACTCTTAAGCAAAAAGAAGAATACTGTGGTATATTGATTAACTTGAGGTTGACATGCATTGCTGGACTTAGTTCTTTGTCTAGCACTTATAAATCGTAGCCAAATTATGATATCACCAGTCATCCAAGTAAACGCCGCCGCTATGCTACCTTATCCATCCAAGAATCAACAGCCATCTGAGCTAGGATCTTGCATGTTCATCGACAATACCATCTTCCTGCTCTCGCTGGTAGTCGGCCAGCATTCCACGACGCTCAGGCTCATGCTCATCATCGTCTGCTTCCTCCACAGGAGATCCTGCCATTGACTCGGCGAGCTTCATGCCTTCACTTCTGCCACGCTCGACGTTGATGAACCAGATCAGTGGCGCAGGAAAGCCAACCAATGCTGCCAAAAACCAGAAAGCCGGGCGAATCGTGCCAGTTCTATCAATGATAGCTCCAACGATCGTCGGGCCAAAGACACTGGATCCCTTGTCCGTTATAGCGTACAGGGCGTAGAACGCTGCCTCGGATCCGGGTGGAATAAGCTCGCCGTACAGAGAGCGGCAGTAACCACTCAGACCTCCGAGCACGACTCCATATACAGCCGCCAGTGGATACATCTCCCAGGGTTGTTGGAGGCCAAATACGCCCCATTCCTTAACAAAAGGAAGGTAGCCCAGCAAGCCGTAAAGGGGGATCAACTCAAACAATACAATGCAGACAAGAATGGTTTGATGGGCTTGGAGGTTAAAGAGCCGTGAGATCCACGACCATCCGAAGGCGCCGAATACCCCTGCCAGAGTTGAAATGACATTTATCATACCAAGCGCCCACGGCTTCATGTGGAGTTGGGTCTTAGCGAATAGAATCGCGGTAGATGACGTGGTTGCGATCGCATCGGACAGGAGAAACCATCCAGCAAGGAACAAAACGATGTCCAGGAGGCGCCTAGCCTGTTGGACCGTTTTGAAAAGGCTCTTCCATGCGTACAGTATGTACGCAAGTCCTGCCATGATGCCTTTGCGACCGTCATCAGCCAGCGGAGGCCCGGGGCGGGGCCGCAACCACATGGCGGCGGGAATAGTGAAGATGGTCCACCAAAGTCCGACCATGAATAATACGACTCGTTGGCCCCATGTGGTGTTATGCAGGGCAATGAGAACAGCAATACAGACGCATTGCAAGAAGAGCGCGGCAATATAGCCGGTACCAATTCCGATGGCTGAGATCCGCGTTGACAGTTGCAGTTCCTTGGAAGTGATTTCCGCGTGGCTTACTGTTGGTTTCAGCGTCTCGCCGCCTTCAGGCTGTAACAGAGGTGAGGTTGTTGTAACTCTTGATGCTTGAAGCTCACCCACCGAGTCATCCAAAGGGCGTGAATCGAATTCAGAATTGGCAAGATCTGGAGTATCAGTAACGTTGACCTCGATAACATCGGGATGATATCGCACAAGCAGCGGAAGAAAAGAGTTCAGTAATACAAAGGATGCTCCAAAGGATGTGTTGGAGATGACGGTCAAGAGGGCGCCGAGAATGTAGTTGTCCTTTGTAATAAAGATGTAAGACATGACGGCGAAGCTCCCAATCCAGGCGAAGCTGAGAAGAAGCTTCTTGCGGTAGTTTCCATGGTCAGCAGCGCAGCTGATGCTGACAACGAGCAGTGCTTGAATCAAGACGCTCACTGAAAATGTGTACATTGCGAAGCTTGCAGTGTTGATCTCTACTCCAAATACCCAGACAATGCATTGTCCGTCCCCCTCTTTCTTACTGTCGCTAGACCCGCATGGCGTTTTTCGGTCAGAGAGGAGCACGCCGTTCTCTCTGGCAAGGGTTTCTAGGAGGATGGGAATAAAGGAAGCTAGAGCATGCGTATCAGTAACAGGCCTTTTCGATCTCTGAATACTACGGTAGCCCAGAGACATTGCTTCACTATCGACAACCTACCAATTCCACAAATCACATACGTCTCAGCCGCAAATGCATAGGCGTACCACCCTAGAAGCTCCTTTCGACTCGTTGGGCGAGCATCATGGCCAGAGTGACGCGGCACGATTGGCCGTCGCACGTCCGCTTGGCTATTGCGAGGGCTCATATCGCCGTCGCTAGAGGATCGCTCGTCGTCGGCCTCGAAAGCAGAAGTTGCGCAAGATCTAAAGGATCGTTTCGAAATGTTAGAGAGTCCGGACCACGGTCTATGGTCTTGGAGACGTGGACGCTGAGGAAGTGGTTGAAGGTTTGGCGCCATGGTCAATGTTCGCACTCGTGATCTCACTGGGTGCACGTGATTGTCGTCACAAGGCCGAGAGCTTGAGTCCGCCCCAGGCGCATTCAACACCAGACAGAGTTCCTCATGAGATTGAAGATGGTTTTGGATTAGTAAAGAGAGGCTTCTGCTCTCGATAAGTCGTGAAGTGCGCCATGTACTCTGCCAGCAGGCGTTGAAAGACAATGGATATGTGGACGCCGACAGTCACGGTTTGTTGATCGATTATACCCCGATAAGAAGAGAACAGAGGAACAAGAAAAGACTCACAATTATTGAGTGAAATGCGCATCGTCGTATTCTTAAAACATGGCTGGCACCCAGAAGCCAAGGGCCGCGGCCATTACCGTCACATCTTGTTCATCCCATCAACTTAGGCGCCCCTCCCATGCGAAAGAGGACTAACAAGACCATAATCACGACGGGGCATCACGATGCCTATTCGCCATGTTTGGGTCTATCTTGGACAGGATCGCTGCACGTCGGCTTAATCAAGGCTATCTGTGACGATCCATGGGCTATTCAGGCTCTTATCAGGGTCTTTTAAGGGTCATTCTAGCACTAACAAGGTGCTTGCAGACTTCCAGTTTCTCTTAGACCAGAGATGGGTTTGTTCGATGCCAAATTGGTTTAGCTTCGGGCTTGGGACTCCAGAGTCCACAGGTCAGAGCCAATCCTGGAATATCATGTTTCTCTTTTCAGCTCGTTTTGCTCTTTAGCGGAGCCACGGGCACTCCGCTGTCCGAGGGATCTCTGAGCTTGTCGACTCATTTAGTTGCCAAAATGCCCATTAAACGAAGCCAGAAATGAGGGGAAGTGGAGCATGGGATACCTTATGGAAGACTATCGAGGATCCTTGATAAGTGGAATAACGTCATGGCAGCCCAACTTGGAGGAGGGTTTTAGCACATACATACGTTCTGTGGTACATACATTCTTGCATGTTCTTTTCTGCTTACGGTACCTTACTTTTCAGCGAGTTGACATAATCTCCAACAAAACAACTGCCGCTGTCAGATCTTTATTTGGGGCAATGAATGAATGCAGGTCAGACACAGAATTATCAGAAAGCTGGGGTGCGTTGCATTTGTCAATGTCACCAATCACCCATCTACACTGAGTTGCCAGGTAGTTGTCATCCCACATGTTTGCGCATTGCGCGATAAAGCAAGCGACACGATAGAATTCAAATTATTCAGAAGAACAGTATGGCATCAGGGGTATTTCCACAATAACCAATATCAACAATAACGCAACCTGAGAACGATAATCCCCGCCTCCTCAAGAGCAAGTCGCAATTCGAGACTTGTCACAGACAACCGACCGGAACAAGAGTCTACTTCTTGTGGCCAAAGATCTTGGACTTGAGCTTGTCAGCAAGACCAATAGGAGTCTTGACCGCAGGCTTCTCATGCTCCTCAGACTCCTTCTCAGAACCTGCGGTCTGCGCGTTGCCAGCGCCTCCACGACCGGTATGGTAGTCTCGGCCGTCTTGGCTTGGTCGGACAGCAGTCTCGGGAATGATGTCGACATCCTTGCGCTCGGTGGCGGGTGTGCCTATGTCAGCGATGTTGCCGGCACCTGATGAAGTTGTATTAGCGACTTGTCTGAGTTCTGTGACAGTTGATGATGTGTTGTGTAAATGCAACAAGCAGGACATTGCGGAAATGGTACAATGCTAGTAATGACTCACCTCCACGACCAGAACTGTACGCGCCATCACCATGGCTTCCAACAACGCCAGTTCGAACAACCTCGCCGTCGACATACTCGGTATCGTCAGGCTTGAAGTTGCCGGCGCCGCCGCGACCGTGAGAGACTTCAGTGGACATGGTTGCTGATAAGAAGACAGAAGTCTATGATGCGTTCAGAGAGATTGAGTCGACAGTAGAGTAGAGTAGAGTTTATAACGTCGAGTCTGACATAAAAGACAGCCGTTCAGGCGTCAGCGTGGCTCCAGGGCATGGCGACAACTTATAGCACCCATCCCGTCATCGGCCGGACGGGCAGCACAGCCATCAGGTTAAGCTTGTTTGTGTGCCTGAGACGTCTTTGATAAGAGATACAGTAACTAGGTACTAAAGGCACATGCATGGCATCATGAGAAAACCACAGCAGGGCTGTTATCTATCGGCTGCCGCCCGATATCACTATCACTCAAATGGACTTTTCTTATCAGTCCGCACAACCAACCCCCCTAGAGCTTCGCCAAGGACGCCTAGAAGACCGCTAAACACAACTAAACTGTGGTGAAAGGTCGCTAAATGCGGGTTGATACAGTGCATTTGAGATCTGGGCGCCAAGCACGTGCGATGAGTGACAGCAGGGTGTGCTGATGGTTAAATCAAGAGCGGCCAGTCAGAGGCCGTCTTGCGTTGCCTGTTTACGTATCGGAATTTGCTGATTTAATGTGGGGGAGAACGGGATCGTTCAACTTATCGATCATCCAATGCCTCTCATTTCCACGGCCACGGGTCATAAATACTGTCTTATCAGGGACCCTGCATTTGTATTCGCCAGGTTGGGTGGGATCTTTCTTTCAGCCCAATTTTGTATGCAACCGGCCTTTACAATTAAGTATTGGATTCAACAGGAATGTGCTCGAAGAATTGTTCGTCTGATGCAATTGTGATGTCGGTTATTCAGTCTATTCATTCACATTGGATGTTTTGACTTGCTGCAAGTCAAACTCTTAGCTTCGTCAACCTCACGCACAATATTCCTAGTCTTGACAGCCTAACACAAACTATTTGCATCCATTTAGCAACTCTATCAACGTCATCTATGTCTAAAATTCCAAGTTTATACGGAAACCAAATTTCTATCCGTATACCCAACACATACAGACACACCCCAGTACAAAGCAACACTCAAAATGGACATCTTGTCTGGCAGGATTCGTCTTCCAGCCCCATTCTCTTCCCGTTTTGGGTCATCGCCAATAGGCTCCTTGATCCATCCCTTTGGCACCTGCGTTATAAAGTCATACCAATAGTCCCCCATGATACTATAACCTTCATTTGTAGGATGCAAGCAGTCTCTCAACTCGCCCAGATCAAATGTGCTGAAATCCACGGCAATAACATGATCACCATCCTTTCGTCGCTGTCGTACAAGTCCAGGGATCAGGGCTCTGTAAATAGGCATCTTGGGTTTCTCTGTGTCACAGGATGCCAAAGGTATCGCGACGAGGACTACTGCATCCGGGCAGTACCTAACAATCTTGTCGATGAGGTCGCCGAGACGAGTGGCAGCATCTTTGGGGTCGTTTCCTTCTTTCGAGATCGACGGTCGTAGATCCATGTCATTTGTCCCAGCGTGTAGGAGGACAAGATTGGGTTTTTGTTCCAACGACTCTGTGATGTGGTCGCTTATATACTGAATCGTCTTGCCAGACCAGGCCGCCTAAATAGGTACGTGTAAGCGTAGTATCTTCGTTGAATGGCTGGTCTCACATAATAACTATCCTCCATGGAACCCTTGCGCCTTGTACCCGCAAAGACAACTTTTTCTCCTTGAGTCAATGTCAGTCTACCTATCAATCCCTATCATGCTAAACAATCAAAAAGGCAACTTACGTGACAGATGTTTCGCGAGAGAAAGCCTGTAACCATTCCCATCGCCGCCATCTGCATCACTTCCCCAACCCTCTGTTATAGAGTCTCCGACACAGAGTATACGAAGAGGAACTTCCAATTTCCAGCCGTCGTCAGAATCAACTTTGGTGTAATTCAAGACATCGTAAGCCGTGAAACCCGAAACATTCCGAGCTATTTGTGCAGCATCCTCTCGCAATTGTAGTGTTGAGGCATGAGCTGCACTAACAAGAAAAGTCAATAATGAATACCTCATGGTTGTTTACCACGACTAACGAGTGCTAATCAAAAAGAATGAACAGGAATGAACCCCAAAAAGTCTCGTAATACTAGGAATCAGAACATATTTTAAAGTTACAACGGGAAGACATGAGGTGATGTGGTTGTTGGTTCTGGCAAATCTAAAGCAAACTAGTCAGCATGATCATCCATATTGGTTCCACCGCCTATCATTCCTTACCCATGATGAAACACCAAAATGCAGGGTTCTGGAGGATCTCTCGGTATAAAACGTAAGTAACGGAGTAGTCACTTCAAATGGCTGTTGGGTCACTTGCTCAGTTGTGTTGTTTGCAAACTCAAGCCGCCGGCCCTTCAACAAGTCAACGCAAAAAGGACAAAGATTCGAGCCAAGCTGGTAATCATGTGGAAAAGTAAGAGACCATATCAGATAGACTCAAAAGAACACTTTTGTATGTTTTGTCATAGATGTTAATCTCAGTTCATGCCGATGCTCCATAGTCTGTCTCTACCTCGCTATCGCTAGTCCATTCTTAATTCTCAACACATTTGCGAGACACGACGTCTAGTCTCGTCTAAAATTCTCATCAACGCCATATCGATCACATAAACTCCATATTATGCTCATTCTCATGTCTTCTCATAAGTAACGTCTCCCATCAAGCCCTTCCAGCACGGCCGACCTGGAGAATCTCGCCTGTCAGGGCCTCGTCTCCCCGCAACACTGGCCACGAGGTGCCGTCAGATTTGGCGAGAACGAATTCTAGCTTCGTGCCGAGCACTCTGTACGATGACTTCTTTGGGTCGATCGGCGCAAAGAGGGGGACTTCTGCTGTATAGCGCTTGGGGGGCGAGTCGGTTGTTGTAAGGTCCAGGTTAAGTTGCTTTGGCTGCAACTCGATCTTGGCTGTGCTCTTGTCGATCTTCTTCAAGAAGAAGGATGCAATAACACTGACTGGGGTCTGGTAAAAGTCATGCCTGTAACTGTTAGGACGAACAATCATAACATTTGACCGCGGTTTTGTTTCTTGAACTCACCTGACGCTGGAGACGACCTCCTCACTACCGGCGCCATCCTTCTTACCACTGCCGACAAACAAGTGTCTGTTCTTTGTCTTGCATCCCTCGATCTTCATGAATTGATCAAACTCCAACACTCGCCTCTTGCAACAGGAGTAACCCTTGCTCCCCTCATGGAAGATTGGTACTCCTGGATGGTGAACACACTCCTCGTCATCTCTCGAGCTACCCTTCTTGTATGTTACGCCGCATGCCCTTCTCTTACAGCCAACACCGTCCGCGATCTCAATACTGGGGTCATCATCTTCCGACTCGGGAGCAGGTGGGGGTGGAGTAGGAGCGTGCTGGGCAGTTGGAATCGGTGCACGAGACGGAGTGGCGGCGTTCAGAGCATCTATCTTCTGGGCGAGGGCAGCATCATCCTGCTTGGGTTTCTCCTCAAGCTGAGGCGGCTTGTCGGTGGTCGAGTGTGTGCCTGTCGTACAGGGAGGAATATCCATAAACTCGTCAAAGGTCAAGACACGGGGCTTGCAGCATTTCCATCCTTTTCGCAGTTAGTTAGTATGCAATGCAATACAATGCACAATGGCAGGTTAAAACAGCATCTGCTCTGCCAGGTCAACCTACTAACCTTTCTGCCCCTCGTGGAAAATGGGCGGACCAGGGTGGTACTCGCACTTCTCATCTGGATCGGTAAACTCTTTCCCACAACCTTGATGGACACATTTTTGAGACATTTCGCGAGTAGTATAAGGCCTGCACTCCACAGGAAGAACTGTCAGTTTAGTGATTGTCTAAAAGCAAGAGAAAGGGGTATTTGAGTCGGACTTTGGTGGGGTGGGAGCTTCTAGAATTCAAGCTCTGCCGTGGAGGCGATGACGATGCCAGAAACAGAGCTATATTCTCACCGCTTTCCTATTTCGATGCGGGGTCACATATGATTTGCTCGTGCAATTAGACGGGTTGCATGCGTCTCATCTAATCTCAGGCCATTTTCAACAAGGCATTGCCTTTATATGCCGAGCCATTGAGACACTTCCGTGGGGCTCCTCTACTCTCTTCACCATGTTTGCTACTCGTCGTCTTCTGTTTTCAACAAGAATTACGTTCTTCACTCGGGAAACCTGTGGTCTCTGTACCCAAGCTAAGCATGTATTGTCAGATGTTTGGGATAAGAGACCCTTTGACTATACAGAGGTTAATGTCGATCTCCCAAAGCCTGAGTCAAAGCAATGGAGAGACATATACGACTTTGATGTCCCGGTGGTCAGCAGACATACTTACCTAAAGATACTTCAATTCCTGTTAACATCCGTATGACGCAGATTCACATCAGTAAAGCCTCCGCGCCTGAAGAAGAGCCAAGCAAAGTTGGTAAAGCAATCAAATTGATGCACAGATTCACTGCCGAGCAAGTCGAAGCTCAAATGGACAAGGCAGAGAGAAACTAGCTTCTCATTGCGGCACACATCAATATCCCTTTCCTCTGGTTGGTGCCAAGCTTCCATCGGCGAAGCTGAGCTGCTCTTTGGCTACAAGTCCCAAGGACGTATAATCGGTTACTACATTCATCATGTCAAACCCCTGGTCAGCGTATATCTTTGCCTGTTCACCCCCTGTGCAATATACGCCTGTCTTCTTGCCTGCTTTCTGACCCGCAGCAAGGATCTTGGCAATGGCATCTTTCAGTTCCGTGGCCATGACTCCTGCGATAATGGGGTGGCCGAGGGCGTTTCCTGGTGTGAATTAATACTTTTCCTTTGGACCAACTTAGTAATTTATGGAAGACGTACCAAGATCGAACGGTCCAATGAATAACACATCGATGCCATCAACAGCAGCAATCTCGTCGATAGACTCAAGTGCCTCCCTGGTCTCAATTTGAACAATGGTCAAAAGAGAATCATTTGCTTGCTGGAGATACTCTGAGAAGCTCGGCTCGGGGTGGAATCGCTCTGGAGCAATTGGTGACCCGAAACCTCGACGGCCTAGAGGCGGAAACTTGGCAGATTGCACGAGCTGTCTCGCTTCTTCAGGCGTTCTCAGCAAAGGCACAACAATCTTCGTCTAGTCAGCAACATGGCACGGCCCAAGAGAGATGGCAACTTACACCATGAGCTCCGCTGTCGAGTGCACCTGAGAAATGTCAACACCGAGTTCCCAAGCATAGATGTCTCTGCAGTCTTACGCTTTACCATCCATCCTTGCATATCAGGCAATCTCACAATGGGCGAAACCCCTGTAGCCGCAATTGCAGGGACGGCATCGTGCATGGCACCATCTGGATATGTTAGGCCTATATTCAACCATCTCGGCAAAGACTCAACTCTTACCATCCAAGTTCCCATGCTCGCAGTCTACTAAGACCCAATCAACTCCCGACCTTGCCAATACTCGGGAAACGTTTGCACCGGGAAGCATCTGCCAAGCGCCAAATGCCTTCTTTCCCTCCAAAAGAGCTGTCCGTAATCTATTAGATGTCTGCATGGCAGACAATCCAGACATGTTTCTGGTTACCACCCGTGGTTGTAACGTGCTAGGCGTCAAGGCCGGTCGTAACCGGAGGGTTGCTGATGTCCATGCTCTACTCATCTTGTCTCGTTTTTACCTCGTATAATGGTCATAGATAGTGTAGAAAGCAAATATTCTCGGGGAAGTATCCTCCGAGAACCCAATTTATACGACAAATATCAGACATTTCCCCGGAGGCCCCCGTTCCCCGTCCCCAACTCCTCAGCGGGGAGCTCTCGACTGCGGGGTCTCGTGGGGGAGATCAAGCTGCTTCAGGAAGTCGACGCCTATCTGTACAGCTTGCAATTGGCTGTCAAGGAGACTCATTGTTCTAGGGCGGGTGGCTTCACTCATAGGGCGCATATAACTTGGAGCGTTATCGGGTATCTTTGCTTTTATTATCTTGTTTGCAAACTGCAAACTTGCGTGTAACTGTCTATTTGTTCGCTGTCTAAATCTGACAGAAACAAGAATTCATTTTCCTTATAGCAAACTTTATCCATTACATTCAATTTTGCGATCAACGTGATCTTGACACCTTTTTATACCAAAATTGTACGTGCTCCAGAACAGTCACTGTTCGGCTTGAACATCGCCATGTCCGGCTCACCTGCTGCGGGCTGTATTGTCGTCAATTCAGCGTATTTTTCTCTCCCTGATGTGGTGATAGATAGATTTTCGTTGGGGTCGCGTTTGCTGCTGCATCCAGTAATCAAAGGGCTGGCTGCTGTGTAGAATCACATAATTGTTTATATTCCTCTCAGGAGCTTTGGTTTTCTTGGTTTCGACTCCGCCCAGTACCACACTCAACTTAAGAAGCTTGGAGGCATCTGAGATCACCGTTAGCAAACAAAGGCAAATATATGGTCAGGCATCGGCATACCCCAAGTAATCCTCCTTGATGCTACCAATGGCCCACATTTCTCCAACCTCTGTTCGAGTTCCTATAATTTTGACTCGGACATGGGTTTGGGGCTCAATAGAGGTGTCCTCGTTGTTTGTGAACTGAGGTGGCGTCGCATTGGGGTCATATTTCACATCACTAGGAATCAGCTATTGCGACAGTTAGAAAATACCACACCACAGCTATGTGGTGACATACATGGGCTGAAACAAACAGCTGCAGAGGTCCTGCATGAGCGAAGAAGCCTTGTGGGTTTATAGAGTGCACGACTGCATCGACCTGACTGAAGTCAGACTCATAGGTCATTAATCCTCGGCAGTGAAGGCCTTACCGTCTCGCCTTTGAATGGCCGCCATACTACGGCGCGATATCCGACAGTAAATTCAGCCATACCAAGACCGGGGAGGATTCGTCCTTCAGAGATTTCGAAAGCGTCCATGATGGAAATGATGAAGTAGCTGCCAGCGCATGTGCCTTCAACATCCTTCAAGAGCTTCGCGGTCACAAGGTCGTGCATGTTGCGACCCATGAAAGAAGGGTGCAATGTGACCTTGCGCTCCAAATTATAAAGAAAAAACATGGTGAAAAGCGATTTCCGGAGAAGGGAAGATATCGATGGTAAGCGAATGGGCGGTTTCGGTTGGCTGTCAAGTTGTGATATTGCAATATGTTCGATGGCCGACTAGAGCACGAAAACGGGTTTGTATTCGATCAAGCGAGAGATTAAGCTAATAACTACCGCTTCGTAGAGTTCTGCGATCAATCGAGAGAGGGCGCCGGGCGAAAGCGCGTACGAAAAGGAACGAGTCGTAGTGACAGCTTGGCGTGGTCTTAGAAATCAAACGCGCCGAGGGGTTGCGGATCGCTCGCTGATGAGAGATGAGAGGAAACAATATATTAAGAGAGAGGCCCTGACGTGTCAAGTCAAAATATGACTGCTGACCTTCTTGACGCGAGCGCAGAGGGAGGTTGTTTGTTCCTTGGGTGAAAGACTGCCAAGTGAGGTGGAAGTTGGGACAATGAAATCGACGAGGCTGAGCTGGTCCATGCGTTCCTAAAAGGCTTATCCAATCAGAGTTCGTGAGCCACCAGCCACAGGTGTGGCATCTAAGCGATAGCTGCCTTGTCATACCTTAACCTCAACGACATGGTATTCTAGAGGATAGCATTTTCGGATACGTACTCAATGCGGAATTTGAGTATGGAGAGGCGTTTTAAAGTTTATTGCGTCGTGTGTATGTAGGTGCTGCTTAGAACGAAAACTTATTGGCCCCCTATCATACGCTCACAAAACACCTGGTGTCAACTTAACTGGCTGAGAGTTTCCATTGATGAAAGCTTCAATACAGACCCGCAGAGTATAGGTACTTGAAAGAAAGAATATCTGCCAAAGACGCAATACTCCAGTAGGCCATGGCCCATCAGGCCGAATAATTATCACTGAGAGGTATGCACGAGGCCTTGAGTGGAGGTTTCGGCCTCGGCTTCTAGCTCTCGCAACCGGACTCTTCCAGAATAAAACCGCATGGGATGTGGTACGATTCGAGAGAAGCAAATGGAAGTCTCTCCGAACCTTGTCCTTCGTCCTCCTCTTTAGATATCAATCGGCACCAAAATTCTAAAAACCTGGGGAATAAACAAGGGCGACGAGTTTCTGACCAATACAATGAGACTTCGTATATTCCTTGCCGAAATTGACTGGCTTCTGTTCCATGAATGGTAACTACCTTAGGCGCAATCACCCAAGTGAAAGGAGACAAGCACACGACGTGCTGGAAGGCACGGGCATAGGTAGTGGACATGGGGCAAGGGGTGAAAGAAAGGAGCTCCAAAATGGAAGTTACTGTACGGACTTGGGACCCACCCCGAGCAGCTGCGGCGGTGCATTCAAGCGGGTCTTTATAAGGTTAGGGGGGGAGTTGAGGATCAGAAGTGGTAACAGCCAGTGGACACAGGCTCGCAAAAATGGAAAGCACATGAAAACGAACAACTCATCACTGTAGAAAGCCACTCACTCACTCACTCTCTTTTTACCGTACTGTGCCTGCCGTGCCATACCTGCCTTGTCTTCGGCCTTTGCCAATCTTCAATTTCTTGGCTCGTCTTGTTTTCCTCTACTCATTCTTTATACTGCGGGATCCTGCCTTTTGAAGCCTTTGCAGCCCGTCTGATTTGACGGACGCACCTCCTGCATCAACCGAACCTGGGAAGGGGGTCATCCCGTCATCCCGTCTCAGACTGTGATACCTCAAGGTCACACACAATCGGGCACCTTAACTACCTACTAGGTACACCTACCCAGGTTGTAATCATCTTCATCATTCATCCATCCCAAAGGAAGCATCCTTTCCCCCCACAAACTTCCATTCGGTCGCCCTGAATCTCTTCTTTTTTGGACTCAGATCCACAACTGTAGCCTCAGAAATCGTCAAACTGCATAGACCAGCAGCTCACGGACCACGTCAAGCCGAGTTGATCGCTCGTCAAATTCTCAAATTCAAAACTGCTTGATAGGCTTTTTGTCTCCTCACTCTTTCACTCTCAGTCTGTGACAACTCTCGTAACGTCTCTGTTGAGGGGGCCTTTACTCATCATGTCTCTGGATCTTGAACAGCACCTCACCTTTGTAAGTCACATTTCGATACGCTACCTTAGTACCTACCTAGGTATTTATTATGTCGAAAGTCATACTAATATGCGGTAGTATGGTGCTTACCACCATAACTCGGTTAATGTCGCCATCCACATGGTTTGCGTCCCCCTCATCCTCTTATCGGGGTTCTGTATGGTTCGTCTCATCATGTCCTCGCCGGCTTATGCATGTTGGCGTTGCTCTGCATCTGCTTTCTTACTAGAACTCCATCTGACATTTCTCCAGGCCACATACACCGGCACTCTCATTCCAACACCATCTTGGATCACTCCCCCTTATCTGGACCTCAACCTCGGCGTCATTGGTGCCAGCCTTTATTCCTTGCTCTATCTGCTCTTAGAGCCCTTTGCAGGATTCCTTCTGGCTCTTTTCTGCATGGGGGGTGTAGCACTTTGCAACTTCCTCCATCAGCAAAACCCTGACTCAACTTTTCAGGGTGCTCTGGCCATCCATGTCGTCTGCTGGATCTTCCAGTTTATTGGTCATGGTAAATATGAAGGGCGTGCCCCTGCTTTGCTCGACAACCTCATCCAGGCCATCTTCCTTGCCCCTATGTTTGTGTGGCTTGAGATACTCTTCAAGTTTGGATACCGACCAGAGCTCCGATCTCGTGTCAACAAGAAAGTCCAGGTCGAGATTGAGAAGTTCAAGTCAAAGAACGGCAAGGCCCAATAGAGCAATCATCTCAACCTAATCTACTTCCCTGATCTTGAGCATGTAAGATGGTCCTTCAGACGACCAATGCTCCGGGTACTGTGTTGTAGAACCAGCTTCAGCATCGAGACAAACCACGTTCTGACGTGTCCCAACTTGCATTTCAGATACCATCAATCGATGATCAGTAGCGAGCACCCAATCTATCGTCATTGGGCCTCATTGCACGGAATACGATAGTATTCTTTTCGCCGCCGCGGAGACGAAGGTGGCATTGGTGATCTCACCCCTTTTGTTTACTCGCGCACTTGATGCTCTTGAGAGCACATTCGTTTGCTTACACGACCGTTAGGTTGTCCTGAGATTCATATGAAATCGGCACGTAAAATACAAGGAGAAAGTCGGGGGGTGGATCGGTCCAGGTAACCGCCTCAGCATCATATGGAGTGTATGGAGTTGTTTCATTTGCAATTAAATAACAATTAACATCAAGCATGTAGTGAATTCTTCAATATATTCCTAACATTTATCAATAGGCATTATTGATAGTGTATTCATCCGGGAACTTATGCTCTATTGCTACCTGGTCTTTTTTACGGTGCCGTTCTCAAGGCCAATTCAGTCTGTACTGGTCTGCTGATGAAGGCGGTTTGGCTGCATGTTGCTTGATCTGAACCTCATTCTTGTTAGACTAAGCCAAAACTCGGGGAACCCCTTGCTATAGCAAGGTCTTCCTATGGTATGTGACTGACTAACAATTCTCGTCATCCACATGACAAAGCTGTACCTCTATCGACTTGGGTCGTTCAACAGGATGCTGGACATGGACCTGATATTCTCGAACATGATCTAGACGCTTGTGCGTTTGATCATCTGCCGGTTGAATAAGAAGCACAACAGCGTCACCGCCTCGATCAACATCTTTGCCTTGTGGAGGCTCATTGGGAACACCGGCCTCATCTTGGCTCCGTGATTCCGGCTCGTGATAAGCCCTGCGCAGGCAATTCGTTGCATGGCTGCGTTTCAGGGGTGGTCGGTCGTGATCTTCTCGGTGTTGCGGCGGATAGGGACGTCGTTGGTTTGTCCGCGTGCGGTCAGTCTCCAACTCTGATCTGTCCAAGTCAGCCATCTTGAATGCTCGTGCTGGCCAAGCAGGTATCACAGGGATGGTCTGGGCGTTGTTGGCCTCCTATCTTGCGTTTGCAAGGTCTGACTGGGCACAGCCAGTCCAGAATGGGTCGAAGAAAGTGCTTGTGTCGATCCTTGATCTTTTGGCAAGGAACTGGCATATACCTCATGTGATGACAATTGAAGCTGAAGATCTGCTGGCACATGTTAATGATGGTGTTCTTAAGTTAATGTATGGGGAAGGTGTTAAGTACTACTTTTGCCGGTTATCTTGTGACGATGGAGGCATCGGCTTATATTATACTTTTATCTTGTCGGCAAGTGTCAGACGAACATCTCCTTTGTTCGGGCGCGATCCCAGAAGCTATAGAGTAAATCTGCGAGAAGCCCTGTCTGGGAGTATGTTCTTTTTTGTTTTCAGCTAGTTCCTTTGTTACGGGCATCACTGTGCATTTGAATGGGTTCGTTCAATGATATAGTCTCTCCTATGTTCTGTTGAGAATATGAGAAACTGAACCACAATATGGAAGAAATTCAACACATATGAGCTCCCATGTCAATAAAATACGGGTATGTTCACTGTGCTAACTCCCAACCCATAGATAGTTGACTAGAATAACTAAAGTCGAGCAGTTCGTTGGTCCTTTTCGGGCTTTGAAGCATTGAACTTCATCTCGTTATCGTGCTTCAATCTGCTATGCTCCTGCTGTAGTTTCGCGTCCATTTCCTTCTGAAGCTCGTGCTGAATAATATCCAACTTCTGCTGCCTCTCTTGCTGGGCCTTGTCATGGCGATTAGTCTGTAGGGCTCGCATATTAGCATCGTATATGTTTAGGTTACCGTATAATTCAACTGACCTCATTGGCAAGGTATTGGGGAGTTGCAACAGCATATTGCTTTCCCTCGCTGGAGTACAAGTATCTGAACTTTCCGTCTTTGGAAGTTTTTGGTCTGTTGTGCTCTGGCCACAGATAGGGCTTCTCCTCCTCCTCCTCCTCCTCCTCCTCCTCC